ATGTGCCAACCCCGATTGCTCGTCCACAATGGCGTCCGAGTCTACCGGGAGCAGAGGGGTAGAATGCGGGACCCCCGGCGGAAGCAAAGAAGGAGTGTCTAGCGGATGCTTCCTGCGGACGTCAACTTCCATGTGGGAGGTGCCGACGCGATTAGAGCGGGGTATGACCTTGTGAGGAGAATCCGAAGAAGCAAAAGCAGACACATCCTCAAGCAGAGGAGTCAGACTTGCAGGTGGTTCATGATTTGTATCTTCTGAGGGCGATAATCGCGGGGTGGTGCTAGGGTCGGTCTCGGAAGGCAGATAATGAGTTGCGAAGATGCTATCTCTCTCAGACAACTGTGGGCTATGAGAGCGGTCGGGACGGGACAGCCTTTCCACGGGGGCTGCAGTGGGCCGTTTTAGAGGAAAGGTAGAGGCGGGCTTAGCCCATTGATGAGCCGTGGGAGATTCTGCGCGGGATGGAGAAGGAGCTTGCTGGGCATCTCGATGTATGAGCTGGCTCCGAGTATCGTTGTGGCGCCGCTGCTGGTCGCGCGGGAGGTCGGGCCCTTCAGAGCAATCATATTGGGCAGATGCATCAGGTGTCACCAGGGGTCCTGACCAGGTATTGTCTGTCGCGGATGGAGGTCTTGACATGGGGGGGACATTGGTCGGGATGCACGATGAGGACAGGGTGGGAAAGGAGCCGAGAAGGAGAAGAAACGCTGTTGGGGTTGGAAGAATATGGTTGGGTGTTTCACTCGGGGGGAGGCGGGAGAAAGGGAGCTGGCGTCACTGGGGGTTTAGCAACTGGAGACGATCGAGAAGATCAAGAAACATTAGCCACGTTCTGGGGCATAGACACCTTACAGGCTGGAAAGAAAGACTTTGAGTGGGGATGATCTGTTTTTTTTTCCTTTTCTTTTCTTTTCTTTTCTTTTTTTTTTTGTTCTTTTTGGTCAGGGTCCGGGAAACTCACTGACAGGCACGAATGAGGCGTTATCGTGGCTTGGAAAAGAAGTAGTACTGGGTAATAAGGTCGAGGGGGTGGGAAGGAAAAGAGAGAGGGAGAGAGAGAGAGTCGGAATGACGGAGGCGAACTATTCTAGACTAGCTAGTTGGGGAAGAGGAGGAAGTACCTAAGAAGTCGGTAATCTTCTAGGGCAGTAAGGCGCAGTAGCCGGAGGAGAAGAAGCAGGAAAAGTGAGGAGAAGGAAGCAAGCAGTAAGCCGCAGGAGTACAGAGGTAGTTGCAGCAGTAGACAGAAAGCCAGTCAAGTAGGTTCAGGCAGCAAGATAGATTGAAGAAAGATACTCCGTCTCAGAATAGTAAAGCAGGGAAAGGTCCAATTCAAGGTTAGGTGGGTAGTAGTAGTAGCAGTTAATCCGGAGTAGTAAGTACTGTATGCAGTGGAGTGAGTAGGTAGTTGGTAAATTCAAGGTTAGTAGGCAGTAGTAGTGAAGAAGGAAAGGAAAGGGAACCAAAGGAAGAGAAGCGTTTGGCTGAACCAACAAAACGACAAATGACGCGGATCTTCGTCACCGCCTTTGTGGATCCTCAGCTAAATGTCTTTTCAAGTTATGACTGGTCACTGTTCCCTCAGGAAAATGATAAGCAACAATGGTGGAAATGGAAAAGGAGTCCAGAGCAAAAATGGGAATTCAATTCAGAAACCTTGTGAGTTGAAACAAGACCAAATGGTGTCCGGAGTACGGAGTAAGAAGAAACAACGCTAAATGAAGGTTGTTCCTTGAGGATGCTTGCTCTTATTTCTTCTTCTACAGCCACCACTTTTAAATGTTTTTGAAACATCCTCCTGCCTTTGCACCAGTCACAAACCAATACCTTACTATTCAACTAACTATTTGTCACTACAGTAGATAGCTAGGGAGGATTGAGCAGATGAGGAAATCAATAATCACCTGCCAGGATGCGCTTGGGTTCCCAATTATATCACTCTGTGTATCCCTGGATCCAGAAGCCCCAAGGAGAAATAGGAAATGATTTAGCTAATAAGAATCTTCCAATCCAGCAGGTGATTGTGAAATGGATGTAGGTACTGAAACCTTACGGAGAAGGCAAATTCCCTCCGCAGTACGGTCTCTCCCCCCTACTCCCTATTCTTAGTACCTCCCTACAGGCTATAGTATGCAGCAGTCCTCCCTAGATAGAGCCTTTTGTCGTAGGAAGCTCAACAGCATGTCCTCGTCTGATCATTCCTGAGTGACTTACCAGACACTTTCATGCTGAGGTCCCGTGTACGCTCTCTGGCATATGATTGATGGTCGATAAGAACTTAAAGCCAGCTTTCATGAGTCTTGTCTTCTATTCAATCAGCCTACGGCAAGGGCTGTCGGGACACTCGGAATGCAGCTATGACGATAAAAGTACTCGATCGGCCATTCTCTGGGCTGAGGGAATTGTTGTCAGCAATACATACTATGAGTGGGTCAATCACTGGTGAAGAGTCGCTTCCCTGAATATGTGACCTGTCTTCTCGGGCATCATACTGCATCCTCGCAATGCTTGCGAATAGATTTTCGTATGTGCAACCGTCTTGTACAACCTCATTCTTTTGGAGGCTTTTTTTTTCGAATCACCTTGCATATGTACTGTACCGAGTTCTCGGATCCCGGTGGGGTTGCGATTTGGGGAATCCGCTAGATGGGATGCTAGACCGTCCGATAAGCGATAGATACCTTGTATAACCAAATCATAGAGAAGAAATGAATCAAGTGATAGATAAGGAATTCTGCTCCATATCCATTGTTGTACATAGTACATACTCCACATGCCTGCATGGGTTGTGATAGCCATCAGATAAGGTCGGAAGAAAGGAGAAATTGGCTAGTATGGGTGCATAAGCTGTCGCCAGGCAGACGATAGTTACTACGGAGTATGAGTTCAGTATATCTCAGTAAGAGGAATTTGTACTGAGCACTGTGCAATGTACGGAGTACTCCGTATTTTGTGCAGTACTTCCCCACCCCCACCGCATGACCCGTTCAAGGTTCCGCATTCAAGGTTCCAAGTTGGATCCCAGACCCTCCCGTTTGATCTACCAATCAATAAAAAACGTGATCGTCCGGCTGGTCAACGGGGTCAATGGCCTCTGCCGTATGAAGTACCTCAGGCATTGAGAATAATGCCGGACTGTGGTGCCTTATCCTGGATTCAACCGAAGACCCCAGATCCACCACCCTCAAGTTTCGGTTTCCATTGAACCTAGTCGAAGTTTTAAATTGCAATCTCGACCTTCTCTCCACTCCAGGCTCGAATCATTGTCATGTTTTCATTCACTATTCCCAGCTTGCGAAATGTGAAATCTCCACATGCCGTCATATGCGCTTTTCCTCAGGATTCAAGATGCTGACCCTACACGACTTGGGCCAGAACGACTAGAAGTGTTGACGTCTCATCACTTTCTCGGCCATTCGATAGGTGCTATCGCACGCAATATGCATGCTGTGAGTGAGAGAGGTGGCAGTTGTGCTATGAGCTCGCATGTCATCTAGGACTAAAATGACCTTATCAGTCCTTGTGCGTGTCATTCTATGGGATACAGTAAGTTGGCTGCATGCCGGGCGGACCTTGAATCTCATCCAATTGCTGGAGCTCTTATCTCTGGTCTGCATCGCTGCTGCTTGTCTCTGGAATCTCTGGGTGCGCTATCACTCGGGATGAATTCATCAACAAATTCCTCAACAAAGGGTGGCCACCGACGCCTTGCATGACTGGATTCACTCATCCTGCTGGTGCCATTAGGTTTGCCTTATCAGGAAGGGATTAATACGCAGGGTAACTCGAACTGGGAGGTGGGCTTGATGTGCTTCGCTTGGTCGATCCAATTTTCGAGTTCTCAGTGAAAGCCCCTGGAGTTTCGTTCTTGGCGGTAGGACGGAGCACTTGCAGGACTTCTGCTCTCCTACAATCGAAACTAATAACACCCCTCAGCTCATTATACTCTATGCGTCTGAGGGTAGCTTCACAGCTCTATTCCACTGACCTGAGGCTGTTACCCGGCCTTTTCACTTTCGAAAGTAGCCCAATTTAAAGGAGCTTGCCCTACACATATCGAGTCTCCAGTCAACTGCATGTCCTGTCTCCATTGTGAGACATGATTTGCCCTGAACATCGAATATAGTCCTCAACAAATCAACACTCGGCTCTCTTTGATCAGCTATAGTAAGAACACAAACGAACCATAGCGCAATGTGTACTATGCAGTGGGTATTGGGGCCAAAGCTATCGATCTTTCAGTATCAAGTTTATTGGCGATGTAAGAGAGGGTGGATTGAATCCACTAGTTCCACACACCGTCGCTTCAGTTGACTTGGTATAATGGCGCGCGTACGGGTGTAGAGGATGATTAACACCTGCGATTCTTCTATACTAGGACGATGTCGGGTGAGAACAAATAAGTAGGTACGGCACATCCTCCTGTCATGTGATGGATGGCGCCTGCACTCAGCGGCTATTTCAGACGGGGAAACGGATATCTTTCCCCAGACCGCATCGCCTGAACACCCGAACGAAGTACAGTAGTTACAACATCCATGGATATGAAACATCTGAGTTAATCGATTGTTCAAGTGACGCGCAGTCTGAACTCAACAGCCGTGTTCCGAAGGCGATGCTCTGGTACGGAGCCATAGACATGCCACACCCACCGAGCGGTTCCCGATTCCAATCGACCAGCAACAGCGAGAACACAAATTTCTCGGCCTGTCAATCCTGTCTGCTTTAAGTCCAATCAACCAATTCCTTATGTCACTGGAGGGTATATTACCGCCACGCTAAGAGATGTGTCAGTGGCTAGTGGTGAGATTCTACATTTCTGCGGTGCAATTTCCTGATTTCCTCCAATGTCATTGGGACTTGAGCGCTTCGGCTCCCATCCCTAATGTGACGGCGCCGACCGTGATGTGATGAGACGTGCTTGAAGGCGCAACGGGAACTTCCGAATGATCACCAAACCAACCGAAGCAGTTTCTGGTGTGAAAGTTCCCAGAATGGTGCAGCCTAAGGACTGTTCGGCGCAACGACTACCTGATAATTGAAGCTCTGTCCATTTAGATCCTGGTCTCCCCGCTACGAGGTTGTCATCTCACGCGCTCTAAACTCCACCCCGGGAATTCGTTCTCCCAATGCAGGCTACACATAATGCAGTTGCCTCCCACATTGCTCTTGCGCCGTCTTTAATTCTGCTTGCATCTTGAGATCTTGTCTTTTCTGAAATAGATGCCTTCCGCGGATCACTTCCGGGGAGCGCCTGTCTCGCTTCGATACATGTAGTACTTCACGGAACAATTACATGCGAGCAAGGAATCCGAGCCCTCGCTACTTTCCCCTTGAGAGAATTCATCTCATGCTCACCTAGAGCTGGAAACAGATCACAGGAATTGCATACCATCAGGGGTCCAGAGAGACATCTTGGCGAACGAAAAACCAGACAATCGTCAAGATGAACAGGCAACTCCATCTGGATACTTCCAATCTGGACAATTTGAACGGTGGGAGTCAGAGATACTCCTTTCTTGCAACACCATCGGAGATGCATGCACCCGGAGGAGTAATTAGGCAGACAGCCTTGCCAACGAGCGCACCGAGCAACCTCCCAGCAGAGCCGAGGAGCGTGCCAGAACAGACACAACTACCCTTAAACGAGAAAACGCAGCACTTGAGTGACGATGTGGGCCTCTATGCTTATCCAGGCGGGCCTAATATTCAGCATCATCCTGCGAATTATGCTCCATTTGCCGATGAAATACCTCAGCCAGCCGAGGCTGAAGCAGTGGTCCCTGACTACTCGTATGCACATCCTCCGCAAAGTCCAGGACCGCTCCCGGTCAAAGTCAACCCGGAAGCCTCAGGACAGGTACTGGAAAGTCATTCCACAGCAGTTTCGCCTGATACCAACCCATTGAGTTCCACTTCACTGCCTCAATTTCCTCCTCCAGTTGCATCGAACCCATCCGCTACACCAGCAGCGCATGAAATCATGGCTTACCATCGGCCGGGACAAATCTTACACCCTAACCAAGCCATTAAAGGGGGCTCGTGGAAGACCAGTTTATGTGGCTGTACAAACATTGGCTCATGCTTCCTGGGCCTGTTTTGCCCTTGTATTTCCTATGGGAAGACCCAGCATCGACTGCAGACAATGTCCCGGGGAGACGACCCTACGAACATGCTCGGATATAATGTCTGCAATGGATCATGTACAGCAATGGCCCTATTTTGCGGCTGCCAATGTGAGTAAAATCATTCCCAGCTGCAACTCTTCCGTGCAACGAGCTGACCCAGCATCTTAGGGCTACTAGCTACAATCCAGCACCGGCGAGTGCGCAAAGCTTACAAGATCGAAGGCGATTTCATATCCGACTGCATTCGAGCAACCTGCTGTACGTGCTGTACTTTGATCCAAGACGAAGTTGAGATAATCAAACGAGAGGAGGAGCGCGAAAGGCTCGCCAGAGTTTCTGGAGCAGCTCTCGTATCACCATACTTAGCTCCAGTGCAAATGTCGTACGGGCCACCGCCCAGGTGATGGTCTAGTCATACATATAGCGTAATACTCTCACGAGAGACAATGTACATATTCGAATCTGCCTCGTTCTGCAGTTCTATTATTTTCCCTGGCGATGCAAGGAAGAGAAGACAAGACATTAGATAAGTATTCGACTAACTAGTGTCAACTTGATCTGAGTATGACAATGTCCTCGCCTGGAAAACAAGCATGCATGCAGACCTACGTGTCCAATAATTCTGTCATAGCTTATGGTTGAGTCGGTATATTCTGGTCTCTGCTTGGTACTATACTCTGCATGTACATTATGACCTGTCGCATGTCACAAATACAAGCCTCAATAGTTCCGTCTTGGGGCATGATATATATCGATCATCAGAGTAGATAACACCGTCCTGTCTCGCGAAGCATTCAAGTTGTTGAGTGACGTAAGTTCAAGCGAACTTTGAAAGCTATGCTCACTCCCAAACCCCACGACACGTTGCTTATTAAAGGGAGGGAGAATAGAACGAGGACGTCATGTCTTTCTTGGTGATGGGACCCCCCTTTAGGCGGTGAGCCCTGGGGTCGGCCCGGGGATTCTGGACCGCGGTGGCGGTTCTTCTGTCGGACTTCACCTTCGACCAAATCCAAGTCTGGTTCATAGATCTGTCTCAGTTGCTTATTTTTTTTATCAATCTCTGTCGCTATCCGAGCCCTCACACTGTGTGCGATATCTGCTGGGAGACCCACCATCAAGTCGAAGCATCCCTCAAGTCCAAGGTCCTCTACAGACGAACACGACCGCTCCGTGCTCTGCTCGCATTCCCCGACCGTCGGCAATCGATAGAGCGCTTCCGACCTATCGCCATTATGGGTGTCTGAACCTGCTGTGCGACGACAGATTCTTACTGGCATTGATGACATTTCCTACATATGATTCTGTGGCGTGTGTGGCCTGCTTTGACCGCGACGTGAAACGTCCTGGTAGCCTGTTCGATTATGGAGAATGACGGGCACCTGGCCCCTCGCCAGATTTGGGTTCAGCCAACGACAACTACAACCAGGGCATACGAATCAGGCTGTACTCCATTTCTACTACCAAGCGATGGTATGTCAAGGCCAAATAACCTTTGGGGAAGGCAACTCTCGTCGACCCCGGATGGTGGCACATGCCTCCCCCGCTTTCTCCGTACTGTGACATTGAAACTGACGCGGGTTCGGCGCTTCAACCAGGCCATGTTTATTTAAATCGATCCTATGCGATTACTTTGACCGAAAATGCGATTTACGAACCGGTCTGTACCAGTACAGCGACTGCCACGCAACATGCGGTCGCGGCGCTTGACACCACCGACCCCTTTTACTCTTCGGTAGCGCCCCAACTGTACGCCATGGGCTGCACGACTGTGGTCAGCTACTTGCTCGTCATCATTCTTCTCATCACGCCGCGCACGTTCTATGTTGGTGGTCCTGGTGGTGGCGCGAACTTATTGGGAAGGCGCGGCATGATCACCGGTTCATACAGCGGTAATTCTTCGGTGGTTGGCGTGGGTGGTCGCCCTTGGCTACAGAAAGTCGCAGCGCTGCTGGTAGCTGTATCGCTCACAATTGCTACTGTGGATTCATTCCGGGTCGCCGAACAACAATATTATTATGGGTACTCTGACGCTGAGGCGTTAGCTGACGAAGTCATTGATGGGATGGAGATCCGAGTTGTTCGAGTCATCTCGAGCACGTTTCTCTGGCTTGCTCAAGTTCAGACTCTAATTCGCCTCTTTCCCCGGCACAAAGAGAAGGTCATGATTAAGTGGGCAGGATTCGCATTGATCGTGTTCGATACCACATTCAGCATCCTGGATAAATTCCTGGTGAAATCTCATACCACGCGTCCGCGATTATACGAAGACGCGATACCGGCGTTGAGTTACCTCTTCGAGCTTGCTCTGAACTTACTCTACGCGGCCTGGGTCATCTTCTATTCTCTCTCGAAACACCGATTCGCTTTCTTTCATCCGAAAATGAGGAACATCTGCTTGGTGGCTCTCTTGTCTCTGTGCGCCGTCCTTATACCGGTCGTCTTTTTTGTTCTGGATATGGCGAAGCCAAAGGTTGCTGGGTGGGGTACCTATGTTCGATGGGTTGGATCAGCTGCAGCGAGTGTCGTTGTCTGGGAATGGGTGGAACGGATCGAAGCTCTGGAGAGAGATGAGCGGAAGGATGGCATCTTGGGACGGGAGATATTTGATGGAGACGAAATGCTCGAAGTAACTCCTTCCGAGGAGGTCGATTGGCCTCGTTACAACCCCAACAATAATGATCGCGGCGGTGGTGCTGGCATGTCCTCCGGCTGGGGAGGTATGATGGGCCTGGCTCATCGTCCTCTGCGAACCAGAGGTGGGCGCAATTGGCAGTCTAGCTTGGAGAACCAGACAAATCTTGCATCCGCTGACGCTAGGCGCCGGAGGATTGTTTCGCGGCCAACCCCTCCACCTGCGGCCCTCACCCCCGTCAGTCGGGCCGATACTACAAGTGCCGCCAGTACCGTGTACAACGTGCATTACCACCCCGTATCCAGTCCGACGCCACCAGTTGCGATGCCACATATGGAGGAGGAAGAAGAGGGGATGGACGATGAAATGGCTGCCAAGGAGATGGCAACAGCTATGGAGAGCCAACAAGCTGGTCTAATTCATGATAGATTGTCGGAACAGCAGACCAGAGAACAATCTCCTCAAATTGTTCAGTTGGACAAGGGGTGGCGAACTTTATTGAATCCATTCAAACGAAGACGCGCATCTCTGCCAAAAGAGGTTGCTTCAGCACAAGCGGGAGAAGAAGCCCCTGGATCGCATCCTACTGGAGAGGATAATCCCCCTCCGGACCTTCCCTCGGACGACAGCGACGATGAGTACAATTCTCGACCCAATCGAGCTGGAGCTTTCTTCCCGATCCCGAAACGATTGCGACCCGGCTCTGGACGTCAAGGCTCAGGTTCTCCACTGCCAGTCACTGTCATCCCTGCGAGACGGCGAGGACAGCAAACCTGGTCGCCGCAGCATTTCAATGATAGTGGTATCTTAGAAACGACAAACTCCAGTCAGCGGGCCCCCTCGGGGCGTGCTGAAGGTCGTACGGACCTGCCTTTGAGAGTCATCCAGCCGCAAACTCGAAGCGCTGCGCCCTGGAGCGTAGACGATGGCAATATGTATCAGGAACTGCGCTATGATCCCGAGGCAGCGGCTCTAGTGGGCTTTGATGATTATCGCCCAGATCAAGCTTCAACTCCTGCTGCTTATTTTACTTCGGAGCCGGCTCTGGACGACAACACTGATGGGCGCCAACCAACGGGTGCAGACGAAAACCTAACAGAGCCATCACCCTCGCCACAGTCTCCTCATGCTCAATCGAATGGCACTCCACCAAATGGTGATACACGATCCCAGCAATAATCGGACATCGTGCCACACTAGGATTCATACCCCTCGTGCTTTTATTTTAATATTCTCGGGTTAATGCTTACATGGATGCTTCAATTAGCGGGGAGTATCGGATTTCAACGCCATCTTTCTATAAATCACGGTCATTTTTTTTGCGTCCATTGAATTGCTCGAGCTATAGTCTCGATGGCTTCTTATTCGGCTGCTACACACTCACTGTTCTCGTTTCGACTGTTCAAAATGGGCTTCAGTCGGAGTCATCTCAAAAAAGGAATTGCTGGTGTCCTAGGCCTTCTCACACCTTCTCACACCTCGCCGACATTGAACATTTCCTGGCGCAGTTATTTTTTTTTTCAAAAAAAAAGATACCCCTTGGGATGCATGTACTACAGACTTTTATATACGTATATATCATTACCTTGAATTTTGTCTCTTTTGGAAATTTTGGATTCACTTGGAAACGAGCACCTCTTCAGCACTTGTTGAATGCACATCGGCTTAACCTCGCACGTCTCAACCCTACTGATAATTCCTCCGATAAAGATTTTGATTCAGTGACTCAATTTTCGCTTAGGATCGGAAGCAAGTACGTAAGGACAATTGCGGTCCAGCCCGCTCTGCGTCCCACTCACCCAAGAGCCAACTTCCACCTCCATTGGCCTCAACAAGCATACTATACTATACTAATCGCTTTAGATGATTTGCCATGAGATGGGCAGTCGGCAAATTTGCAAGCACGCCATCTTGCACGTCAATGATGCTTGAAATGAAATGCTACAGGGTTGTGCCACCAGAGATGAAAATCTCAACCCAGGCTTGCGAGTCGCCCTACAAATAGCCATGATCGCCATCATATGCTCGCACACACGCACATTGCGCTCGCGGATCACTTGTCGAGAGTTTGACCATAACGGATTCTAGACCTTTCGCGATGGCATTTCACGGCAATGCCTCCCCCGAGCTGGGCAAACGGACATGGTATCACACTACATTGTTCAATGCCTTTGTGATCGGCGGAGTGGGCTTCTTAGCCCCGGGGTTGTGGAATGCGATGAGCTCTTTGGGTGCAGGCGGCGCGGAATCGCCGTTCTTGATCAACGCTGCCAATGCATTGGTGTTTGCTCTGAGTGAGTCAGTTCGTGTCGAAGTGCATTCGAACCCGGGGCACTGACATATAGACGTCCGTCGGTAGTGGGTTTTCTGTGCATTTTCGGCGCCCCGATCGCCAACCGGATTGGCTTGAATTGGACATTGCTGCTGGGAGCGGTCGGGTACCCGATATACTCGTATGTGCCGGGGAGCGGAGGTTCTTTTGGATGATTTGGTAGACTGACAGGATGCAGCGCGGCGTTGTATACGAACAACCGCTATGTGAGTTCTCCTTTGCGAGTTTCTGTGATTGTGTCTAATGACCGGATTAGGGCAATGTCTGGTTCGTGCTTGTCGGTTCGGTAGCATGTGGATTATCGTAAGTGCAGACCTTCCCAAGTGTATCATCGATCTCATACTTATGTGTGTCAGAGCGGGACTTTTCTGGGCGTCTGAGGGTGCGGTTGCACTTGGTTATCCTGAGCCCGGCAAACGCGGCAAGTATATGAAGTAAGTATCCGCCACAACCGGCTGCTACGAGGATGACTGACCCAAGATAGTATCTGGCTGTGGTTTCGGACCGGTGGACCGTTGTTGGGTGGTGCTATCGTCCTGGGTCTCAATCAGTAGGAGTTCCCGAGGAGTCAGACAGAACGTTGCTGACTCGAGACAGTTCTCCAGGGGGCAAAGGCAAGGTTCAGCCTGGTATGTTGCAGCAAATTGTGATTGTTGTATAGCGGCTGCCGACTGACACATTGTCTAGAGGTATATCTGATTTTCGTTGCGCTGCAATGCCTGGCCGTTCCTGTCGCATACTTCCTTTCGCCGCCTGAAAAGGTCCAACGTAGCGATGGGAGTCCCGTCAAGATTATCGCACAGGGCTCATGGCGCGCTGAGATGCACGAGCTCTGGAAGCTCTGCCGTAAGAAGCAGGTAAGTGACTGTTTCATGCCAATAAAGTGCTCATGCTCATGTTATGCGTCTAGGTCCTCTTGTTGTTGCCCGTGTTTTGGGCTGCCTACTTCAACCAGTATATTGGCAGTAAGTCAAGTCGTCTACGCTTCTGCTTCACTTGCTGATATGAGTCTGCAGATTTCGAAACCTACTATTTCAACGTCCGAGCTCGAGCTCTGATGGGCTTCGTTAGTACGTTGCCCCACCTGAAACTTGATCTCTCATCCATCAGCAATCCCGATCAAAAGCTAACGCTAATCAGGCAACTTTGCAAACCTGCTATCATCCGGGATCATCAGTCGATTCCTCGATTACAAGGGTCTTCCTGTCAAGAGCCGGATCACATACAGGTATGCCCGCGGCTGTCAATCGTCAAACCCGCCCCTAATTTCCGATAACTAGTTTCTACTACGTCATCGTCGTCCACATCGCAGCCTGGACTTATGGCTGGGTTGTTCAAGAACAATTCACCGCCAACCCTCCAGTCCTGGACTGGACCAACAAGGACTTTGTGAAGGGGTTCTTCGTGATGATTCTCTGGCGTGCGTCCAGGCTCCCCTTAAAGTACGATCTAGTCCCACTAACATCGTCCTTTGATCCAGAATTCTCCCAGCAAGCTCTGCAGAACTTCATGTACTACCTTGTCGCTACAATGACCGACAATATCTCTGAGCTAGGTGTGTACCCCACGTGCTGACTGCATCGTATTACCTATACTGATCCGACCATAGCGCGTTATTCGGGTATCCTTCGCGGGCAGGAGAGCTTTGCTCAGGCCGTGTCTTTTGGTCTCAACACCCGCGATTGGTATGGAGGCAGAGTTCCTCTCGCTGTGAACACGATTCTTCTGGGTATGACTTCTCGCGCTTGTTTGTAGCTACGTTTCCATGGGCGGCTGACTAATGACGCGTGTCGTAGGGCTTGCGGTGGTCCCCACGTGGCTGGTCATCAAGGATCATACTCCGATTGAGCATAGTAAAGATGAAATCACCCAGTCAAGGGGTGATGATGAGGAGAAAGGGTCTGGATCGAGATCTCTCGGTGGCGAGGGACAGGATGGCTATGTGGTGAGGGAGTCGACTGCAACGAAGATGGCTTAGATGACAATTGAAGTTGAAATCATGGACCAGTTTGAAAGCGGAAAATTGAGCGTGTTTAGATGTAATGAAATTGGAAGTCCCTTGAAAAACAAGACCGAGTCCGCAGCTGCCCCAGTTCTCCGCAATAAAGTACCCAAGGTATGGATCGGCTGCGGTGTGTGGTCCACGTGGGGAAGTGGTCGGTTTGTGGTCCACTCCCTCATCCGAGTCGCTCAAGCTTCCGGGGTAAACGCCCGAGTATAAGTCATTTGACAGACCAGCCATGTTGCGACTAGGATTGTTAGCCTCATTTCTTGATTGACTCCGCTCTCGACCAAGCGGGGCCTAGTCTGTCTACTTGCAAAGAACAGAAGATGGGTATGTGGACTGCATACTTTTTTGATTCTATGGGCGGCTACCATTGCATGTTAGACGACACTTACTAAACAACCGTAGGTTTGACACCGGTCCATTTCTTTTCACATGGCTCTACCATGATGTTGGGCGAGGAGAGCACCTCGGCCGATTACTGGCGCAAGTGTGGTGATGAAGCACTTGCGCATGGGATCAAGGGCGTTGTGATCATGGTAAGGAACAAGCCATCACCGAAGAGACACACCAATTTCCCGCCAACTAACAACGACAACCCCCTCAGGGAGCCCACTGGGACTGCTTCAACGACCAGATCCAAGTCGCGACGAACCCGAACCCCGGCAAAAGCCCGGTGGCCTACGTCGACCCGGCAAAATACGTCGACTACCCGCTCAACCCGGACCTGGCGACCTCGCAGCGGTGCATCGAGCTCCTGGCGCGCGAGGGCTTCAACGTCAGCGGCAACGCGACCTTCGAATGGATCCACGACGTCTACCTGATCCTGATCCGGATGTTCCCCGGCGGCTGCCCGCCGACGACGGTGGTCTCGCTGAACGCGCGCTACGACCCGCACTTCCACCTGAAGGTCGGCGCGGTGCTGCGCCCGCTCCGCCGCGAGAATTACTTGTTGATCGGCACGGGCGGCGCGGTGCACAACCTGTACCGCAACCGCTGGGCGCCCATGCTGCGCTTCCGCGACAACTTCGCCATGGAGACGCCGCCCGAAGCCTGGGCGCTGGAGTTCCGCCAGGCCGTCGAGGACGTCCTCATGAAGACCTCCGGCCCGCAGCTGCGCCGCGCCATGACCCGCCTCATGAAGCACCCGGAGTACCGCGATGCGCATGCCACCGACGACCACTTCATGGCCGCCATGTTCGTGGCCGGTGCGATGGGCGACTGGGAGGATGAGGGTAGTCCCGCGGTGCTGGGCGCCGAGACCTGGGAGTTGACCAATATGTGTAATTCGCAGTTTACCTTGGGGGCGTGGCCGATTAAGGTCTGACCTTTGGGCAGGTTGGAGGATTGATCATTTTTCTCGGGGAGACTTCGGAGTTGTCTTGGAGTTTTTTTTTTAGATTAAAGTCTTATTATAGGCACAAGGCTACTACTACTCAATAACGTTACAAGCATGTGCCTTTTTTGACCCTTGCTTGAGTTATGCGCATAATTAGAGTTCCGTGCATCGGAACTGACATGCCATGCCAGAAGCTGAATATTGCTAGAGATATTGAGTCTAATTGACGGGAGGGGCACAATTCAGTGATAAGATGATACTTTATAGGGATGCGATCATATGCTGATAGCGATAAACAATGTGAATGTATCTCTGAATTTCTAGGGTGTTGCAGAGTCCACGCAGGTAAGCTAAAGTGCAATGAGGATGAGGGGGTCTGGCTGTCTGAGTCAGCCGAGCATAAAAGCTTCCCCGGGATTCCATAATTCCATTTCCCTTCGTCACTCACTCACTCAATTCCCATCTTATCCACTTTCTTTCTTTAATCGCTGCCGCTGCCGCTGCCGCCTCTTTCTTCCTGCTAACTTAACTTAATCCCCGTGCGTAATCAAATGTCTGCCTGTGCCCTGAGCTTCTTCACCTGTCTTGTTTTCACTACAGTCCATGCCACGCCCATCCCCCTTACAGATGTCGCATCATGGCGACCGTGAATCAGAACATGTTTGAAGCCAGTGTCACCACGGATCGGCCCAAAGGTGCTCCGTTACTCGTTCTGCCGCTGAATTTGATCGCTCTCATTATTACCTCCGTGCGTCCCCCACGAGCCCTTGCTTTATTCTCCGGTAAATAGTACTATGTAATATGCTAACCTTCGAGACATCTCATAGCTCGATGATCCCGGTGATCTCGCTCGTCTCTGTCGAACATGCCGCGTCCTCAATTACATGACTCTGCCCCAACTCTACAAGAACATCACCTTGACCTCCTATGACAAAATCCGCTACCGGGATGACCAGCCGGAGGGCATGGGGAGCGCTAGCCCATTCTCCATGGGGCTCAACGCCGTCATCACGCGCCCGTACGCCAACCTGGTGCGATCGTTGACGCTCCGGGGAAATTGGCGCGAGTCGGAGCTGGAGGAGCATGCGCGGGTGGGCCGGGTGCCGGACTCGTCGATGATGCTGAATATCGCGGTGCGGGCGGCGGTGGACAAGATGCCGGACCTGGAGAGCTTCAGCTGGGAGCTCAACACCAAGATGATGGAGACGGTGTATCTGGGGCTGGCGCAATTGCCCAAGCTGACGTCCTTGACTCTGCGGTTTCCGTCGAGCCGCCATCCGCGGCCGACCATCGTCATCCCGGCCATCCCCCAACTCCGGTCCCTGAAGATCACCGACATCGATCCACTCTGCTATCCGGACGACATCTCCACGCTGCTGTTCCGGTGCAGGAAGCTGCGGGATCTGAAATTGCACTGGTCGCCGCGCATGCGTATCGAGCAGGAGCCCAGCGTCATGCTCCACGACTACTTCCGCAAGTGTATCGCGGCGAAACGACCCTTGTCCATCCGGAAAATTGGGTTGCAGAATCTGTATGCGCTGCATACCGAGGAGTTTCAGCTTGCCTTCGCCCAGCAACCCATGGAGGAGGTGACGATTCTCAATGACATAGGCTCGGATGTCTCGATGAACACGTTTGTGGACAGCACCTGGCCGACAGTCCCCCAGACTGAGATCCATATCAAATGTATCCGACAAGATGCGTTGTCGCGACGACATGCCGACTTCATAGGCCATTTCACCGGTTTGGAGAAGATGTATTTCGTCAACGCAAGCTCCAATCCGGGCCACGACATCAATTCCCCGCGACAGCCCGTCGCTGCCACGGCACTCACCCCGCCGCAGTCCGACACCAACGGCTCGGTGACGTACTCGTCTGCCGCAAACACCCCGGTCAACTCCCCTAGCCTGCAAGCAACCATCCGCGACTGCTACCTGAATAACATCATCTCGAACCATGCCTCCACTCTCCGTCACCTTCTGCTCCCCGCGCGCTGGCCACTGTCGGCCAACACGATAGCGCGCCTTGTGCACGCCAGTCCGCAACTCGAACAATTGGGGTTCGCCGCAGACTTCTCGACCATGGACACCTTGGGTCTACTATTACCGTTCCTCCGCCAATTGACCGCACTTCGCATCCTTGTTCCCACCGGCCCAGCATCGGATCAAGCCCGTTCCACCCAGTCTTCGTCCAAGTTGCTGACCGGCCAAACCTCCAAACTCTTCTCCCGCACCGCCAACCCCCTGGCCTCAGCACGCACTCTGCAAGAACTCGTCGAAGCCGACGATGAGATTCTCATCGAGAAATTCAGCGCTGCCCTCGCCGATCAACAGATTTTCCACCGTCTGAAAGTCCTCGGCTTCGGCCGGAAAGCCTTCCTCTTAGGTAAACACTACACCATTCCCACGGAACCGTCGAATGGCCACGCCGTCGAGCCTCAAACCCCGAGTACCACCCGCGCCCCAAGCACTGAGGCTGGTAAGAGTCCTTCGCAGCAGCAGCAGCAATTCAATCATGCTACGGCACCGGAGAAAGACCTCCCCAACGGCAACCATCATCACAACACGTACAACGCCTCGATCATCCCCGCCTTCAACACCAACTACACCAGCAGCAGCAACCGGCAATCTCCACCCTCCGTCCTAGGTAAACGCAGCCGTCCGGATGACGAAGAGACCCCACCCGCCCGCACCGTGGAGACAATTCAGTCCCCAATCGAGGACGAGGACGGCCTTTGTCTTCCCAAGGTCATACGGGATCCCCGCGGTCGCGAATGGCGCCGTCAAGTCCGTCGGGTCGGGTGGGAAGTCCTGCAGCACTGGGAGATCTGGGCGTTGGACAAACAGGAGTTATGAGGTCGTTACGGTTTTTTTGAGTCAGTGTTTGGATTTTACAAAAAAGGAACATATACCCTGGAGTTTTTTTTTGTGATTTGTTTATGCCTTACATGGGTTTGAGATGTATATTGTGGTGGTTGTTTGTGGATGTGGATATGCATGTGGGACTGGACAGGATACTGCGATATACGGTGTGATCTTGCTCGAATGCATTGTTCGAAGGGCATTGAGCATGGACACGATAATAGATGACAAGACAGAACATTCCCCTCTCATCTCTGCTGATTCCACGTGTCAATCTTCTCGTAGGAACTGAAAAGGTACTTTGATGTGGCACTGAAGCAAGACAGCGTAGACTAAGGTAATAGCCTCCTCCAGAATGATGGGAGAAAAGGACCCGATGTCGTACCTCGACGGCGAACAAAGCGCAAAAAGAACTAATCACCTCACAAGCTTAACTTACTATCCACGACGCCGAGGAGGAAGACAAACCCTCAACGAACCTACCTACCTGTCCATCCGTGCAACGCTGTGCCCCTGAATGGCGCTAATCATACCCAGTAGTCATCACCGATTCCATCCAACCCTAAACCCCCCGCCGGTATCCAGATTTGTCCTCCCTCTCCAGCGAAGACGTATGATGGGTGCTGTTGTATCGCTCTCCGGGCTTCTGCAAAGCTACTCCTCTAGAAAATACCTCCTCACTCGGTATACATGTAATCAGCGAAGCGTTTCTACAAGAGATCGACTTGTGTGAAACGGGTAGATGGGGGTCTGTAGTCTGTCAGGATTGCGGGTGGTGTTGGCTGGATGGTTATTATTATGAACACATTTTGTTGCTTTTTTCTTTGCAGAGAATTGATCATTCATGGATATCCAAGTAGAGAGGTAAACCGGACGATACGGTGACTTGGTAGGTTGAAGGTATACAGCTTGAATCCTTTGTTTTGCCGCGTGGCTTTGGTGATGTTGGACGTTCTGAGCACAAAATACGACAGTCTTTCTTTTGACTGGTCTATAGCAGTAGCAGCAAAGCTAGGTGTCATCCCGGTAAGTATATGCCGGACAGCATCGAGGGATAATCTAGGGCTTCGGAAGTAGCACATCTAGTTCTTACACGAAAATTGAGGCTATGAAGTCCTTTTTTTACAGGGGGAGGGAAGACAAATTTCTCTTACCGCACGCACCGCACTACCGGCTTGTTACTGTGGAAGCCTCAAAATCCATATACCTACCCTGCTCCATCCACTCTCTCGCCTTGAGCGCCATACTCTCGGACTCCACATCTAGCAACACATTGGCCGGGACGCACGGCAGCTCGCGCTGGCCCAGTGCGCGGGAGTGCTCGAGGATGCACCGGACCATCCAGCCGTCGAATTTGTGAGATTCCGTGGAGAGCAGGCAGATGTTTTGGAAGGTCATTAGTCTGTTGATCTGGTTGGTGGATGGGTCAGTATGATCTGAATGTGTGCTTGAGGTTTTTTTGGGGGGGGGGGGGATTACCATGGCTTTCGTGTTGGGCCAGAACTGCTGTTGCTCGATCAACACCTCAAAATTGGCATTCAGCGCGGCGCGCACGCCCTCGAGTTCTGTCGGGTCGCCCAGGAGGAGAGTGTGGAGGAGGACGGAGGAGGAGACGGTAGTCATGTGGCCGATGGTTGGGTAGTTGTTTTCGCAGCCCTTGATTTGTCGGGCGAGGTGGAGGAGGTTGCTGAAGGAGGAGGCGTGGTGCTTGCAGCGGCGGATGTAGGTGCGGGACTTATGGGATGATGGCTTGGATGAAGGGGCTTGCGTGCGGTGGTGGCTTTGGGTATGGGTTTGGTCGTCCTCGAGGAAACGGAAGTACAGCAGGGTGGAGTAATGGTGATACGCCAGGTGCAGAGCAATGAAGAGTCCCCCCCGTCCGGACTGCTGGTGACTGTGTAGGTTGGGCACCGTCATCTGCGTCTCGGCGGGGAGCATCTTGTTCCACGCTTCGAGCTGTTCCCCTAAGTCCTGGACCTCCTGGTCCAGTTCGACGGTGTCGGTGTAGCCGCGAGCGGCCTGCCGGTTAAGGTCCTGGATCGGGCCGAAGAATCGCACCAGCGATACCATGTGCGCCCAGAGGCCGAGTTTCAATATGGTAGGTTCGAGGTGTACTGTCGGCGGCGGCGCTTCTGAATCATTGCTCGTGTCGGGTGGTAGAGACTGGAAGGTGATCTCGTCTATAGGCAGCCCGTAGGGCTTGCTGTATTCGTCCATGTGACGGGGGAGACCGAGCCCCGAGGAACACCAGCGGTCCGCCACGTAGAGCGAGCACCAGACTCTGCGGACGGTTTCGCGCGTGACGAGGGATCCGTTCATCGCTGGGGAGGAGTCGAGCGACATGATCTCGGCCATTGAGGTGGCGATTCCTAGTGATTTGTGAATCGGCTGAACCCTTCAAAGAGAGAAAAGATTGAAAGCAGTAAGGACATCTCGTACGAACGAAGAGTGCCTCCGAAGATGGCTCACAATTTCCTGCACTCAGGGTCGCAATCAGGATGCAGGTCTGCATGTTCTCGAGGCAGACGTTCTCAATGTCGGCTTGGAGCAGCCGCTTGGCCTCCCCGGTCAACCGCACTTCCAGGTCGCGTCGGTCCGGGTATGAGGAGAACTTGACCCCGAGGGCGCAGACGGCGTACAGTAAGGCTTTCCCCACGGTGCCATTGCGCACCTGGGCCCGCAATGTCGCCGGATGGAAGATGCTATGCGGTCTATCGTGGACCTTGGCGAGATACAGGTCGACCAGCTCTGCAGTTGTCTCCCAGGGAATTTGAATTGGGTCCGAGATTGGTTGATGATGTCGGACAGGTTGATTGCGAGGTTGCTGTTCTTCGCTGAGAATCACCACCGGCTCGGGATTTGGCTCGCTGTTCACTCCCACCGGGTTTTGCCTTCGCAACTCGGCACTACATTCGATTCTTCGCTGCTGACATGCGTTGCAGGGCTCACCTGGACCGAGGCGAGTGCATTTTCGTTTAGAGGATCGGCATTGCAGGCATGCTCTTGGGGCTTTCATGCTGTTTCGGAGTGACGGGGTGGATGCAGTGAGGTAGGTGTACGGAGTAGAAGGATTCCCAGTGGTGGATTTGAGCGGAGGCAGCGGCCCCACAGCCTTTCCATACATCGGGATTGCTGTATCACAATTGGCTGTTTTCCGAGGCCCCGAAACCACCCCGATGTATGGAGTCACTTTTTACATGCAACCACCACCCATGATATCAAGTGGATGCTCATCCATACTCACTACTAATCATAGTCTCCTCACCGAGAAGCTACCAGAAGCAGTGGAAATGCACGGAGAACAGGTATATAAGGACTGCAATCGTGTCCGCTTTCATCGCTAATGCTCAATTTTACTCTCAACCTTGAAACTCCTATTTTCCACCCAGTTCGATATTATACAAATCATAAACATCCAAACGGCACTCCACAATGTCAAGCCTCTTAGAGCCCATCATTGTCGGCGGAAAGCTTCCGCTGAGAAACCGTGTGGTCATGGGCTCCATGACCCGGAATCGCTGCGTCGACCGCATGCCCGGTGCAGCACAAGTCAAGCATTACGCAGACAGAGCCAGGGACGGCGTCGGCCTGATTGTGAACGAGGGCACCTTTGTAGACTGGACTGGCTGCGACTGGCAATGGTCGCCCGTCATGATCGAGATGGAGCATGCCGAGGCATGGCGGAAAGTGACCGATGCCGTCCATGAAGCCGGTGGGAAGATCTTTTTCCAAGCCTGGCACGCAGGTGGGTGAATGAGCTTAACAAAGATGGGTGATGTCGCCATGTGATACTCATGCAGGTCTGATAGGTCGGATTCAGCATGACCAAATGCCAATCATGAAAGAAAAGGGTGGACGTGTCCTGGCGCCATCCAGCATCAAAGCTGAAGGGGGGAAATATCGTGACCTTCCGGGTCAGCCGGTATGGGATCACGTCACTCCACACCCGTGCCTTATTGAGGATATCGCTGACCACAACCTGATGTAGGGGCATACGGATAATGTTGAGGAAATCAAGAACCCCCGTGACGTGATCGATACCTATCGACACTCCGTTCTGCTGGCTAAACACGCAGGCTTTGACGGCGTTGAGCTGCTGGCCCAAGGGTAAGTATATGCGATATCCCTTGGTCACAGGATTGGGACTGATACATATCGCAAACCCAGCGGTTATTTACCCCATCAATTTCTCAACACGTAAGTATTCCTCCCCTGAAGTCTTCAACAACTAAGCTAACCAGCCCGGTTCCAAACACAAGTCGTTCAAACAAGCGAACAGATAGCTATGGAGGTTCAGTAGAAAACCGCTGCCGATTCACCCTTGAATTAGTCGATGCCATCAGCGAGGTATTCGGGGGACCCGAGCTAGTCTGCGTCAAGATCAACCCCACGGACTTCTACAATGACTCCGCGACCACTTTTGAGGAGATGAAACAGACCTACACGTTCTTGATCAAGGCGCTCGTTGACCGCCGGGTGGGCATCGTTAACCTTGGCCGCCGCGGAATTGATCCCAATGCAGGCACCGGGGACTTCTTCGGACGCAGTGGTCGACCCGAGGAATTCCCTCTGCCCCCTGGGTACGACCCTGTCTTGGACTTTGGCCCGCTGGTCAAGTATCCCGGCAGCCCGTCCTTGCTCATGGCTAACCATGATTATACACCTGAGGAGGCGGACCGGCTGGTCAAAGAAGGGAAGCTGGACTTGATAACCTTTGCGAGGCCCTTTATCTATAACCCGGTGAGTAGGCTGATTTTTCGAGGTCATTCCTGAATGCTCAGCTAACGACATCAGGATGTAATCTCGCGCATCAAGAATGGCATTCCTTTCGCCCAGAATGATCGGGGCAAGACTGTGCACTACGGACCCTATCGGGCACCCGACGAGAACTACAATGACTGGCCTGCTGCTTCCCTGTAGTACACAAAGCATTCGGGTAGAAGGATATGAGGAAGCTGCTGAGGGTACAAGGAAGAGACCCATTTGAGGATAGATCACATACCTGTACAGCGTACTCTGCAAGTACCCATAAATGAGATTACCTATACACAAATCAGCTGTGAGCAAGGACTGCCGGGCTTGATCAACCGCTCTGCGCAGAATTCGAATCTCCGTCTTTTGCCTTTGTTTTCGAGCGCATTTTGCACCAGCAATCGCCGAAGTTCCTCTTCTTAGTCGGCGAAAACGTGCCGGGTTTTTCTTTGGGTGAGTAAATGCTGTTCTTCGCATCTATAGGGACTCCATGCACGGATTTGGGTTTCTGCTGCTAAGCACCAAGGGAGGCTTGTAGGGGAGCCGGCCTTTCTCGATGTCTCAGTTCGATGTCGTTGCGTCTCTGTAATGAGATCTTGCTGCTCATTAATGAGACGTTGCTGGATATCAACAACACGCCGCAGCACAACATAGAATAGGATCGGTTGGAGTGGTTTGAAAGCCGTTGTCCGAAGTTGTGGGGAAGGATCGTTGCTTAGTGCTGAGTCTAGACCTTTCGAATCTCTACCTCCCTTGCTACAAAGTAGATAAGGGGGGGGGGGGGGGGGGGGGGGGGGGGGGAAGATCACCGTTAGTAACTTTCTAGTAAAGCCAGGATCTCAAGCACCTTGCCTGCTTCATAGAGTCATAAAAGGAATTTATCAAAAGAGAGACCCGAGAAGACTCCAGGTCGGATCATATATGTGTAGAATATAGATCGTTGCCGAGCGTACTACTCAGTACGGCAAGCTACTCGTGCCAATTTGCAATAACCCAATTTCCATAGTATTTCTCTATATAGTAAAGGGTAACATGTGTTCACCGCTTTATTAACCGCCTTTCTTCTAAACTAATCCTAATGTAAAAATTATATATAAGATTCCCTAATAAAGGACCCTAATATAACAATACCTTCGGCCTAAGATACCCGAAGACCCTAATAACCCTAATAATTCTAATGTAACTTGTAGTTATGTGATTTTATTTAACCTAGGCAGCTTGGAAAGATTAAACAGTATTGTCGGCAGAATTGGGGTTATTGCAAATTGGCACGAGTAGCCCACCGTAACTCAGTAGGTAAGGTGCTGCAGCTTCCCTCTTTTTTCCCCCACCGCACCTTATCGATAAAAAGGACCGGACTGACACGTGACGTCCACCCTCCGAAGCTGTAACAGCGAAGCTGACCATTCCTCTCTCGTTTCATTTCACTGTCCATGTCATTGAAGTCTCTCTCGTTGTGCCCGTTCTGTTCTCATCTGGCCCCGTAGCATGCTTGGTCTTTGCCTGCTCATCTACTGACCATGGCGTCTGAATTTATCGGCTACGATGTGCTGGTGACTCTGCGAACGCCACCAAATGCAACTGTGCAAGGAGAAGTGGCCAATGTCATCGGCCAGCGTCTAATTCTACGGAATGGTAGGTAGAGCAATTCTTCAACACATCTTTTTGAACAGTTTCTCCAGGCTTGACCAAGAATTATCGCTAATCAACATGATTACCACTTCTCAGTCAAGCTATCGTGGATCGGTCACCCACTTCCGTCCTACTCCGTCGACGCTCCGGATATTGCGGACCTCTCAATAGCACCATCAGGCCAGCCCACTGCCCAGCAGCCCCCTGTCCCCCTTGCTCCCTTTTCTCACAAGGAGGCAGTGGGTGCTACTTTTGCGCCACCCGCGCCATCAGCGCCACAGCCTTTCGTGGACCCAGCGATTCTGAGTTTCTCGAAACCTCCCTCGAAACCAGTCGACCAGAGCCCAGAGGCAGCGGCACCTTCGAGCTCCCAACATCCTCAGCTATCGCAGCAAGTCGTCCGTGATCAGGCTGCTGTTCTTAATGAACCATTCAGCAACCTTGAGCTAGATGTGAACAAGGCCCCACCCGAGAGCGGAATCGCGACACAAACTGCACCCCCTTTGCAACAGAGCTTACACTACGGACCCAAGACCAATCGTCGCGGTGGTGCGCCTAAGGTCTCCAAAGTTGTCAACGAACACGATGGAGCAGCCAATACAAACCCGAAGACCAGGGGCTGGCGCCAGACAGCCTTTACCGAGCCCTCGCACCCACAACTCGCGGAGACACGCAACAAGCAGCGGCGGAAGAAGAAGGGCAGAGCCAGTTATGCTGAGGACCCGAATGGCTGGGCGACAGAAGACGCCACGGATATTCAGGAATTGGGCGAGTTTGATTTTCAGAGCAATCTTTCCAAGTTCGACAAAAGACGGGTTTTTGAGGAGATTCGTAATGACGACACTACCGCCGATGAGGAACGCTTGGTCAGTTTCAACAGAAGACCGAAGCCCGGAACGAACGGTGGGAGAAACCTGCATTGGACGGAAAACGTTCTCGACAGTCTTGAGGAGAGTGAGGAGGAGCTTACTGATCACGTCCCGAGCGACGCGAAGCTTAGCAGCGGAACCTACTCAGGACGTGAGCGCACACTGTCTTCCAGGGCGCCACCGTCTCGCAAAGGCAGTGCTATTCTCGGACAGCCATTGGTCCCTGCACAGGTCAACTCGCTTGGTCGCAGTCAATTGAGCACGTCTCGAACCACCAGCCCACGCCCGAATAAAACTCACGTCTCAGCATCGCCGATAAGCGGCCCCGGTGTGCCTGGTGCCTCTCTGCGCCTCACGACTACCAACAGAAGCTGTCCAACCGTGAGTCCGCTCCAGACTCTTGAGGTTGAGCAGATTGCGGTCGCGGAGCTCGGCCTCACCGAGGACATGATAACAGAAAACACTGGGCGAGGCATTGCGGAAGCCGCCGTCGGCCTTCTGACTAGTGATGCGGCCGCCCCCACAATGCTTATACTCACAGGCAATCACCGGACTGGAGCACGGGCTATATCCGCTGCTCGCCATCTGCGTAACAGGGGTCACCGTGTCACCGTCTGTATGCTGGGAATTGAGCACGAAAACGAGCTGTTAGAGAATTGCCGCAAGCAACTCGACGTGTTCAAGAAGATCGGCGGTCGAGTGCATCGGTGGGAAGATCTCTCAGCCCGACTGACAACCTCCGAGTTTGCTCCCGACTTGGTGGTCGATGCACTGTTTGGTATTCACATTGCCTTTGAGGACCTTCGCACAGACGATCAAGCAGTAGCCTTCGAAATGATTTCATGGGCCAACAGGAGTAATCTTGAAGTCTTGTCTGTGGACGTCCCCTCCGGTCTTTCTGCCATTAGTGGTGAGTCTTTCTTCCTTGAAGATTGATTAAAATTGCGGCTGGTCTCTAATATGATACAGGCGAAGCGACGGTGGTGGAAGGCGGTCGAGTCTGCGTCAATGCTAAGTCAGTGGTTTGCCTAGGCGCTCCAAAGACTGGTATCGTCAACGCCTTGCTTTCGGGAGAAGGACTATCATGGAATCTCTCGGTAGCAGACATTGGAATCCCTCAGATTGTGTGGAGGAAATATGGCAGTCGACGACGCCACGGAATTGACTTTGGCAACCGATGGGTGGTGCCGCTACGCTACCAGCCACCTCCTGTGTAAAGCAGGCTTTGCATGCATGTGATGATTCTATGACCCAAAAAGTCTTACGGCGTTTTCTAGGGAGTGGGAGATTGAAGAAGAGATCAGGTACTTGCGTTGTGATTGATGATGATGAGGGGGGGGGGCGAGAATACCATGAGACGTGACCTCTTGAAACCGAATAGTCGACGGCGGCTTTGTATTATAGTGCTGTAGATTTAGCAATGGAACCCATATCATGACGATCATTGTTATTCTTTGACCCGCATTGTCTCTATGTTCGGTATGTTTTAAAAAACATTAATTACTATGAAGTTATCAGCCTTGTGGTGTGCCGGCTACACCTGCCGACCATGGCAGGTACGTTATCTCAACTCCAACAGTAGTATCAAATCTCAACGCAGCTTTAAGGTTGGAGACTCAATCATCTCAAATAGAGGCTTTCACATTTTTAATCTCTATCATGGCGCTGACGAGGTTCGTGGCCAGCGCTTATGGAAGAGCGTCTAGTCGACAGTCTTGCCAGGGGTGGTTTTCTAGCGCATGCGCTACGCTTCTTTCGCACATGGTCTTCATTCACTTCCCACTGCAACTCCTACTCGACCCGAGTCCTTGTTAGGTGTGATCTCCTCTTTCCTGAAGTAGACTTCTGTGCCATCAGTTCATCCTACTTGACTCTTCGAGCCTCCCCTATCCTATCGAGCCTGGGCCTAAGAAGACCACCTTATCACCAGCATCATGTCGTCGAACACCACATCATCACCGGCCGACCAAGCAATGCGCCAGCTGCAGTCAGAGCAATCTCGAGTTCTGGATGTCATCGATGAGCTGCGCACCATCGGCGTTGGGGCCCTGGTGGAGCTGCCCCAGCTGATTGTCTGTGGCAATCAATCCAGCGGCAAGAGTTCGGTCCTGGAGGCCATCTCACGCGTTCGATTCCCAGCCAAGAGTAATGTGTGCACGCGGTTCGCGACCGAAGTCACTCTCCGCCGGCGACCGTCAAGTAGTATCAACGTCTCCATCGAACCAGGTCCATCGCGTACGAAGGAAGAGGAGAGACAGAGACTCCGCGGATTCACCGCGGAGGCATTCTCCAATGGCGACGACCTTCCATCACTGATCGAGAAAGCCAAGGAGTGCATGGAAATTACGGAATCCGTGAACGCCGGTTTCAGTGATGACGTGCTCAAGGTGGAAATTTCTGGCCCAGACAAGCCCGAGCTGACGTTGGTGGACCTGCCAGGCCTGTACTACTCAACCAGCCAGGACCAAGGCCGCAAGGGCATCAGCATCGTCCGGGGCATCACCGAGAGATACATGAAGAGCACCCGCAGCATCATTATGGCGGTCATCACGGCGAAGGCCGACTACCATCTACAGGAGGTCCTGGACATGGCCCGAAAGTTTGACCCGCAACGAGAGCGAACGCTTGGTATCATTACCCAGCCGGACGTCCTGGAGCCCAGTTCAGAAGAGGACGATACATACTTACAGTTCCTCAGAAATGATAAAGTATCCTTGCAGCTTGGCTGGCATGCGTTACGCAATCGTTCGTTTGAGACGAGAGATGCATCAGATGATGCTCGAGACGAAAAAGAAGCTGCGTTCTTTGAACAGGGCCGGTGGGCCTCAATCCCTCGTGAAAACGTTGGCATAGATGGGCTTCGTCGTCGGCTGAGCAACATATTGTTCAAACACATTCGCCGAAATCTTCCCGAGTTGCTCACAGATGCCCGAAAGAAAATCGAGATTCGGCAGAGCAGACTCACGACGCTTGGGGAGGCTCGTTCAAGCCTGCAGCAACAGCGAGGCTTCCTTCTCGGTATAAGTACCGGCTTCGGAAAGATTACAGGCCAGGCATTGAACGGCATGTATTCAGACAGGTTCTTCGAAGACGGGCCAGAGTATATTCTCATGGACCAGGATGATCGCCGCCTCCGGGCGATGATTAGAGAACTGAATGAGTGCTTCGCTGAGGCCATGAGTATCAGGGGCAAGCGACGCACTATTATACATAGTTGGAATCAGATACTATCACGTTCAGACATCGCAGCGTTGAGTGCCAAACTCTATATGAAAGACTGGGAATACTCATGCGTCAGCCGCGAATCTCTTGAGCTCGAACTCAACAGCCAAGCGCGTCGAAAACGAGGTATCGAGCTGCCCGGAAGTGCCAATCAATTGCTTGTCGGAGATCTGTTCCGTGACCAGGCCAGACCTTGGGAGGAAATTGCTCGTGAGCATATGATGCACGCTTGGTCGGTAGTGAGATATTTTATCCATTCTGTCCTGCAACACCTCACGACCGAGCACACATATTCGTTGATAGCCACGTCTCTTATCGATCCGGAACTCGACAAGATGAAAGAATCCCTCCTGGCGAAGCTAACCGAATTGACAGCTTACACGAAACGCAGACACCCTCTGCCTGTAGGAAAGAGCTTTCTTTCTAAGATCCAAAAATCCCGAGTTGACCGCCAGTTCAAAGCACTAGAGCAAAGACTGTTGATGTCAAAGAATGCTTCTGCGGATGCCTCCTTTACTTTGAATGACTTCAAAAAAGCTACTACAGGTTCAGAAACAGAGGGGAATGAGTTCGTTGCGGCGGAAATCATTGATCAGATGCAAGCGTACTATGATGTTAGTGACATCTGCCAACTTGAACCGCATATCTACCTTCCTAACAACTTATCTGAGTTCTTCTAGAACGCTATAGTGACCTTTGTGGATAACGTTGCGATCCTTGGCATCGAGAACTGCTTGCTCGCCCCCCTGGAAACCATTTTCACAGCCCAGACTATTAACAACTTAAACGATGAGAGGATTCAAGATCTCGCCAGTGAACCATCCTCGGTTGAGCAAGAGCGAAAGCGCTTGTCTGAAGAGCTGCGCAAATTGCAAGAAGGCTTAAGCACACTCCGCCTTTTCAGCACACAGATGCCAACGCTATCAAAACCCATGGTTTTCAGTAAGATTCTCTTCACCAGGACACGGCATGCATGAACTGACTTGGGATATAATTAAGCGCAGAGCCCTCTATCTGGTGCCAAAACTTCGATTCCTTTCAGAAGCACTGACAAATGCGAGGACTCAAAGAAAAATGGTCCTTCTTGTAAGTGTGTAGGCTGAATTGCCGCAAATATCACTAATCATTTGGATAGCTTCAGCGCAGCCAAGTGCTAACCCATTTACTAGGGCATCCTATGATATTGAGCAGGCCAAACCCTCTATCTCGGATTTTAGCCGTTCTTCCGCAGCCTCTAAACAAACACGGGACCCTTCTCCTGGCAGCTTATTTGGTACCGGATCTACTCCGCAATGCTCCATTTCAGATAGTGCAGCATCATTCGTCCCAACTCAAAATAAGTCTACATTTTCTGTGACCCCTGAAACAGCTCCGAGCCCCAATATATCCCTTCCCAAGGGCACTATATTCAGTACGGAGACAGACCCCACGGCTACTTCTGATCATTCTACAACAAAGTCCCCAGGTACAAAATCCGGCAAGACTCTATTTGGAGCTCCATTCCCTGGGTTCGGGATCCTAGGTTCTACCAATATTTCTACCGCTATTCCTGATCGCTCTACCTCGAACTCCCCCGGAAGAAAGTCCGGCACGAGCCTTTTCGGGTCTCCACCCCATGGACTCGGGGCATTCGGCTCTACCAGCGGTACAAGCTCTGCAGACAACACCCAAAGCAGTGGTTCTTCCTCCAAGACTCCGAGCACCCGAGGCTTTTATGGGTAGGATCTCCCTTCTAGTCACTACCCCTTCTATTTATTGCCTTCGTTACTCTTCTTTAGCTCTCCCTTGAGATTTGCTTCATTTGTGCGTTGAATTGATGTAGTACCAGCAGAAACCCATGATTTCTGACGATATTTTTGGGAACTAGGCCCTATCTTTGGGAAAGAACTGCTGAGGGTAATGCCGTTAATGTCTATCAACACATCGCTTTGTCGCAGCGATTCGCTGGCTTCTCTTCAGAAGTGAGTTAATCGATGCCTTGTCATGCATGCAGGTGATACTAATAGGAGCACAGGAACTTCGACTCGGAGACTATGAACGGGGTGACAAACTTCGCACACCATGGTCCCTAGGTTCATGATATCATTGCTGTTTGTGCTTGTGACTACCATAAGCATGACTTTTGGACTGGCTGCTGTATAGCGTTGTTCTTCGATTCTTCTCTGTTTATCTTATCTCTGGTAAAAATCTGGTGGCAAGTAGACAAGCCCCGCAACGTCTTGTGTTGTCAAACAGTTACTATCCTTGTACAGTACATATGGGTGCATTATCCGCATGACCCTTCTTTCTGGAGATCAATGACTCTCTTCCGTCTTGCCAGCCGCGAAGGTAACTCCTGAGGATGAGTATGGAGAGCTTATACAAATTTATGCTACAAACGCATGGCCACACCCCGTTTGATTGTCAGCATCCTTGAGCTGCGACAGCGCACTCGACAAACTCGTCTGTGTCCCGATATCTTCCACCATTAAAGTGTCCACAACCCGGTGCAACGTCTCCACATACGGGCCATCTCCTGCCTGTGATGCAATCTCAGAGATAATCCTCCCATAAGCCCAAATGTCGTTGAATTGGCGCTCTTCAAATGTATGCTCAAAGGGCAAAGTTCTGTCTTCCGCCAAGACCGCTGGTGCACACCACTCCCAAGTGAACCCTCCTATACCGCTAATGTCGATAAGCACAGCATTGCCCTCCTTATCGAGAACAATATTAGAAGGTTTTAGGTCCATATGAGTTTTCTTAGCCTTGTGAAAGCACTCCAATGCAGTTCCAATTTGAACAGTCCATTTCTGCCAGCAGTACTCTGCGACACGACGCTCCGTAAGGATTTGCTGTAGAGATCCACCAGGATATGCCTCGAGCAGGATTCCAACTATCACTAGTTGTTTCTCGCCTGTAGTCGATGTCTGGTAAGGGTTCATAGAGACCGCGACCCCTGCCGCCTGTGCAATGTTTGGGACACCTGCGAAATACTCAAGATTTTCCAGCTCCTTGCAGATGACTTCGGTATCGCCGGGCCAGTATATAAGACGGTTGACCTTCTTGATGACATACTGGGCCCCACCGTTGCTGACCCAGTATACATAGTCTGTGATGTTCGCACCCTTCGTAAGCTCCTCATAGTTGATCCTGCGGAAGGAAGGAAACTCGTCGCACGAAGGATAGACGACTCTAAGAGGGTCTTCCTGAATTCTGCATCTTAAGAACGTCGAATTGGCGTCGCCCTTCGTCTCCGTCATGTTCGTGGTAGTGTCCACTTCGACCTCAACTCCTAGTCCCGGCGTTGCGGTACTTTCATCCGTCTCATCCTCGCCCAGTATGATCTCAGTCACGGTGTTGGCTAGGAGAGGGAGCGACTTGTAGTTCAGCTGTTGGACGAAGCTCTGGAAGAATTCGCGTCGCTCACGCTTTGAAGCTTGCTGCTGCTGCTGCATGGCGACATTTTCAAGAAGTTTAGCGACGGGGCCTAGCAGAGTCACTGTGATCCACCATTTGTCGTTGTCAATGTAGTAGATTAATGCCTGCGAGCGACGGACGGGCTCCGGCAATCCCAAGCAAAGGTGATCCTGACTCTCAGAATACTTTTTCAACTCAAGACGAGGTGTTGACTTGACATCAACTAATTCCTCTGCAACCGATTTCTCTGCCATATTTGATGGATGGATGAACTGGATGCAGAGAATTGGGAAGTAATTTGGCTTGAGATGCACAGAAGAGGGTGGTCGGAAGATGAGAGTTCACGTGCTGGAGTTGAAGAGACGTTTGGTGGTTTGGTTGCACAACAAACAGTGACTAGCGGATGGGCTTGCCCACCGCAATTCGATGTTGTTGATACTATCATGGATGGGAGTTCGTTACTTAGTGCTGGTTGCCAGTGCAGTGAGCCGACTTTCTTTCCCAAACGAGTATCGCGTTTGCCAGGCAACCCGAGGCTCCATCATCTTCGTCTACATACTACCTCGATAAACCCATACTTTGTCTGCTCCATCTCTGGGGCATCGCTAACTACTAATCTGTAGGTCGACCCCGAAATAGTATGCCGGAGAATTTGGCCTATGATGCCTGGAGACACCGACTTTTCTATCCCAAGAGCCTGGTGGCTGTTCCAATGCAGCCTTTGCCAGCGGGAGCCTAATCCAGGGAGACTGTCTCACTAGGTACCTTATACCTATCGACAGGCTCGTTACCATATCGGTCTATCCTTCATGACGATGTCGGGGGCGTGGCTTGGACTGCTGCTGCCTGATACCACTAAGCACTGTTGCATTGGAGTGAACCATTACCGCCTCATCGCCATTCGGGATCACTCGGGGTTCGTTCGACACACGCACCTGCGTGCTCACTCCACGCTTCTGAGTTAAGGCCAGACCACCTCCCAGCTTGCTATACACAAGGACCTCAATCTATGTATGTAAGCCCTTGCACTAGTGCCGCGTTATGTCTTCGCCATCTCACGAGGCGAGCGCCTAGCTTGCCCCCAGAATAGTTTTTTATGTCTAATGCTACCTAACTCCAGATCTTGCCATCCTTGTCATCCCCGTCAAGCATCAGACCTACTGAGACCTCAGCCGCGCATCCTGTTGCATACTTGCCGATATGCGCTCACATGGTGAATAGTCATGGCTGAATCATTGATCGGTCGACGGACTCGTCCAACTCTCAATTTCGAAGCGCAATCAACTCCCTCTGGTTCCGGAGTCAGAGGGGCTATCTATCGCGATTAGTCTGCTTTGTGCGGTCCACATAACGTTGATATCCGCCGGATACCACTCGCAACCACCAGCTGTGCGCCCAGTCTCGCCTCATAGAGCTTGAAGTCGAAGGCCAAGACAATTATGACAGGCGAAATAATCATCGCATTTGCGGGTGGTCGATGAAGATATCCTTTGACCGTTGGTGGAAGGAGCTATACTCGCGGAGGTGCATGTGGAAATGCATGGGTTACTTTGTGTCAAGGAATTTAAAGAGTGATATAGAGGGATTTTTTGTGGCGCTACCGGATCTTATTCGAGCAATGAAGCCAGGGAATTATGGAGAAAGTGTGGACTTTTCTACGATTTATCTTTGCATGTCCATGTTTTGTGAGAGGTAACAATAGGGTGAAGTGGTTCTGGCATATGCCGGTGGTAGTGGTACATCGCAAATTTCTGCTTGTCATTACAGACAAATCATCCTATCGATATGTGCACTGTAAAATCCGATGCCTGCTGTGTCCTTGGGCACCACCAATGGGCATGTATATACACCAGAGTAAGTACGGAGTACAGAGCACGAGAAGTAAACAATTGCTGTACAGTATAGATTTCACAGCATAATCTAACCAAAATAGGTTAGTCTCGGTCACCCGAATACATCATCTCTTGGAGAGCGGCGACAAACCAAACCCGCGGAGGAGAGCTGGCGCTGTCACAAATTCTTGGGAGCTTTTGTCGCAACGATGGGTAAAGGTAAGCCTCATTCGACTCCATCCCTGAAACCCGCTCAGACTGAGAGCTTGCTAACAGAATATAGGAACGGATAAATTATATGTACGCTGTCTTCGCCCTCTACCTCAATCCCAGTCTGCGCTTTCGCGCGTTCCTAATCTCTTATCGCATTTGCGGTTGGGCTGACCCAAAAGTCTTCCACAGATCACGCATTCAGAATGGGCGTCGGAGGATGCCTTCTCCGCCAGCGCCGGAGCGGGCGTCACGCGCGCGAAACGCGGCGGAGTCGATAATAGTTTCAAGCGCCTGCCCTTCAACTTCTGCTCGCTCTCCCTCCAACCGTACGCGCATCCGGTGTGCACCCACGAGGGCACAATTTTCGACCTGACCAACATCCTCCCCTGGATCAAGAAGCACGGCACGAACCCGGTGAATGGGGCGCCCCTCAAGAACTCCGATCTCATCAAGCTCAACCTGGCCAAGAACGAGGCCGGCGAATACGTCGATCCCGTAACCTACAAGGTTTTCACCGACAACACACACATCGTCGCGCTGCGGCCGACAGGGAATGTCTTCGCGTGGGATACGGTCGAGCGGCTGAATATAAAGGGCAAGCTGTGGAAGGATTTGGTTACGGATGAAGAGTTCACCCGGAAGGACATCATCACGCTGCAGGACCCGCAGAACATCGAATCGCGGAACCTCAGCTCGTTCAACTACATCAAGGAAGGCGAGAGCGGGTTGACCGAGGAGCAGATCCGGGAACGAGAGGACCCCGCTAACAATGTCAATGCCAACGCTCTGGGCAGTTCGGCCAAGATCCTGAAAGCAAGGGAAGCAGTGGCCAAGGCCCGCTCGGAGAGGGCACAGCGCGCGGGCGTCGCTGGTGCGGCTGCTGCCTCTGTGTCCAAGACTGGGGCTGGACCTGGGTCTGTTGGTGCCTTGTCGCAGGCTAAGAAGCCGGTTGCTGGGAAAGCAACTCCCTATAATGCCGCACGGCATACGACGGGGTTGGCTGCTGCCTCGTTCACGAGCACGGGGATGACCCCGCACACGTCCGCCGACCTCGCACTGCTTTCGGACGAGGAATACATGCTGAAGAGGGGTCGCGTCAAGCACAAGGGCTATGCGCGCATCTCGACTACGTCTGGGGACATCAACCTGGAACTGCACACGGAATATGCACCCAAAGCCGTGTGGAATTTCATCAAGCTCGCCAAGAAGGGTTACTACAGGGATGTCACCTTCCATCGCAATATCAAGGGCTTCATGATCCAAGGTGGTGATCCATCCGGGACTGGACGCGGAGGCGAGAGTATCTGGGGCAAGTATTTCAACGATGAGTTCGAGGGGCCTCTGAAGCACGACTCTCGAGGCACGCTCAGCATGGCCAACAAGGGCAAGAACACGAACAGCAGTCAATTGTAAGTGATTTTAGGCACCACATCGGCGTCACCGACTTCCTCAACCTTACCGCTGACCTGCACGCCACCAGTTTCATTGCCTATCGCGCCCTGCCTCACCTGAACAACAAACACACCATCTTCGGTCATGTCATCGACGACCCGACCCCATCGTCCCCGACCTTGAACAAACTTGAGACACACCCCACCAACTCCACCACCAACCGACCCACCCCGGACATCCGCATCACCGATGTGACCATCTTCGTGGACCCCTTTGAGGAATTCCTGAAGCAGAAGCAGGCGGAGGAGGCCAAGGCCAAGGGTCACATCACCGATCCGGCGGAGGAGGAACAGAATGCACGCCGTGAGGACGACGATCGTGTGACCTGGACAGGGAAAAGGGTTCGTGGTGCCGGAGGTGGTTCTGCAGAGGAGGGCTCGGCCGGTGTAGGGAAATACCTCAAGGCCGCCCTGGCCGAACGGGCGGGCCAGGAGGAGGACGAGATTGTGGAGTATGTGGATGATGAGCCTGAGCCGGAACCGGTGCGGAAGAAGATGAGAGGCGCTGGGGGATTCGGAGATTTCAGCTCATGGGATTGAGATTTGGCATGTCCTGAAGTTTAGGGTTCTACATAGTACCATTTACTATGGTCTGTACAAAACCACTATGGCATGATGTTGTTACTCAGTACCTAGTAGTTGTACGTTAGTGATTGTATACAAACTCTGGTTCTCGATTGGGCATTATGCGAAGATACCTTAGTAGTCAGGTCACTAGAGAAATTGTACATAAGCATCGGTTGAGTGGCGTAGTTAGTTAACTTATCCAGCATGTGTCACCATGATGCTGTTGTCTTTGCTGTCTCTTTAACTACTTGACCTCACGTATGTAAGCGGACTTTCAGTGCCGAAATGGCCAGGTGCCAAGACCGAAGCTCGTCGTCGTCATCGCCGGCGTGTCTCCACAATTCCAGGGTCACGTTATTTTGCCCGATGTCCCTTGACCGCTTCCCCAATTTAGTGCTCCCCCCCTCCTGCCCGCTTTCCCCCGATCGGTTTTAGTGGTGATGGAAATGGAAATAGAAGAGAAGCACGCAAAGGAAGGAAGGAAGGAAGGAACTGCTGCCAGTGACTGGGCTCCATGCAGCACGGGCAGGCCAGACTAGCAACCTAGCACATTAAGTACTGTACTATACCTAGTACCTATAAGTTACCCAGTAGTCTTTGTAGCTCAGTGCTAATAATAAACCCCCTACGATCCCGCCGCCCGCCGCCTCACTACAACTTTACTACTACTAGTAACCTACTCATTAGTTACTGCCACTGCCGATTCCCCGGCCCAGCTAATTATTTCCTTACTACTCAATATTAACTCCGACCATACCACCACATCCTCCCCTCCAACCACCACCACTCCTTCTCTTCCTCTTCCTCTTCTTAACTACTTTACCTTTACCTCCAGTTCCCCCCCATCCCATCCTTGTGGATTGCTTTCTTATCACCTGTTCCTCGTGAGTAATTCTTGATCCACTTTTCAATATCAAATTTCAATTTGTCGTGTTGTCTCTCCCACCCTTCCAAGTCTCCGGAGCGCGCAGTGGGGGTGGTCTACAAACGAGCCCGTGACGCTGGAATGGATATACTACTCAGTATAATTTCAGACATGTCTTAATCACCGAGACTCTCCTCTTCCAGCCCCGTGTTTCATTCCTATTAGCTGTTGTAATGATGTTTGCCCAACGGGCGTACTCTTTCCCCCCCCCCCCCATAGCACACACTGTACATGCTCTTCCATCTGGTGTTGTTGTTGGACCACGAAAGTCATTTATTCTGCATTGCTAGCTGAGAACCATCGTTTTTGGGGATTAGTGGTCATCCATGAGCTTCTACTTAGGGTCGATTGTTTACTGATCCCAAGCACTGACGTCTACAGGTTACTCAGCTCTATTCCCTCGCTTCCGCCGCAACTCAACTCTCTCGCATCCTACGTCAGTCTCCGCCGGCTTTGGACCCAAGGCTTTGCCCTCTGCTTTTCCCCCCCTCCCCGCGCGCCGCCGCCGCCGCCTCCGCAAATCACCCTTCTAAGCCACTTCTTCTCCCTTTCAACAACCCCCCCCCCCCCCCCCCCCCCCCCTTCTTTCCCCCCCCCCCCCCCCCCCCCCCCCCCCCCTCCCCAAATCCCCCCTCTAACCCCCTTTCTCCCCCTTTCAACACCCCCCCCCCCCCCACCCCATTCTTTTTAAACCCCCCTTCCCCCATCCTCCCCAAATATCTTCAGAAATACAATCAAGCTGGCAGGAAGTAAGCGCCGAAGTTTTTCTAGCCAGGGTGGGTTGCTGAACCGAATGTTCAGTGGCTCCTCGAGCCCACCCAAAGATAGATCCGACACAACAATTGCCCGCTCCGGTGCTATTGACACGCCGCCTCTAAGCATTCGCACCGAGGATTCCAGCGTCACCCCCAAGAGATTCTCTCCGCCAGGTGGCTTCTTCACACGGAGGACAAGTGAGGATCAGGGCCCTGGCAGTGAGAAGAAGCGCCGCAGTAGCACGGTCACGAAAGCTGCCTCATTCTTCACCAGCGCCAAGAACTCCTTCAGCCTGTCAAGCAGTCCACGTGAGAATTCCTTCAACTATACCATTCAAGAGCAGCCTGGCCTGGCGAAGTTTGGGAGCATGGACCCTGCCTTGAGCGTTCCTCAAGGGTCATTGAATAACTCGGCTGGTGAATCGCATCCCACTGCACGCTCGTCATTCAGAGTCGGCGTCACCGAGGACCGCAATCGAAAATGTCGCCGGACTATGGAAGATACCCATGCCTATTTGTACAACTTCCTGGGGACTCCCGCACTCTCAGCCCAGGGTGAAACAGGCACGAAAGCGATAACCATTCCTACTGGCACTTCTCCCACATCCGAGAAATCAACCAGCGTGGTTGAAACCGACAATGGATACTTTGCCATCTTTGACGGACATGCAGGCACATTTGCTGCTGAGTGGTGCGGAAAGAAGCTGCATCTGATCCTCGAAGATGTAATGCGCAAAAATCCTAGCACACCCGTTCCGGAGCTTCTCGATCAGACATTTACTAGCGTTGATCAACAGCTGGAAAAGCTGCCCTTGAAGAACAGTGGATGTACTGCTGTTATTGCGCTGTTGAGATGGGAAGACCGAGTGCCCAGCTCGCATTCTGCCACGGGGTCATCTGCCCTCGCATCCGCCGCCGCCGCCGCTGCCAAGGCCGATACAGATTCCGATGAAGCGGGCGATACTCCTACCCAGGCTGCCGTCTCTGGAGCACTTCCCAAACTACAGGAGAAGGCGGCTCGTCAGCGCGTCCTCTACACTGCCAACGTTGGGGATGCACGCATTATTTTGTGTCGCAATGGCAAGGCACTTCGTCTGTCTTACGATCACAAGGGCAGCGACGAGAACGAAGGAAAGCGGATAGCAAACGCCGGAGGATTGATCCTGAACAATCGCGTTAATGGTGTTCTCGCTGTGACCAGAGCTTTGGGCGATGCGTACCTCAAGGATCTCGTGACTGGACATCCGTACACCACAGAGACTGTTATCCAGCCAGAGTCGGACGAGTTCATCATCCTGGCCTGCGATGGGGTAAGTCTTCCATTCACCAGACTATTCGTCATAGTGTTGCTGATAGAGTAATTTCTAGCTTTGGGATGTGTGCAGTGACCAGGAGGCTGTCGACCTCATTCGGAATGTGCCCGATGCCCAAGAAGCGTCTAAGATCTTGGTTGATCACGCGCTTGCACGTTTCAGCACTGACAATCTTTCTTGCATGGTCATTCGCTTCGATACGGAACGTGTCAAGGATGTGGTCAACCGCACCGCTGAGCCCATCGGCGTCGAAGGCGATCAGGAAACTGAGCACGGTGTCAGCGAGGCTGACAAGATCGTTGAGTCAGCTCGAAAGAGTATGGCCAAAGCGGGAATTACGGACAATCCGGAGAAGGCTGAGAAAGTCCAGGAAGAAATCCTCGAGAAGATGGCGAATGAGCAGCCCGAGCCTGCACCAGCCATGAAGGAAGACAGCGGTGCCGCGATTGCGGATAAGTTGAAAGTGCCTGAACCCAGGAACCCAACTGCATAAGTACTCTGGAGTGAACCCCGACGCTGTGTATTGTTCTACTTAAAGTCGATAGAAGGACTGGGCTCTTCAACCCGGCCCGTTTTCTCGCTACAAAGGAGTTCTTTTTCGCTTCTGCTCCACTCTTCCACTTTTGACTTTCCATCTTCTTTCTAACCATGCGTCTCTGGTGTCGATCGCGGGCTTCCTACTTTGTTGTTTTATTCTTCTCACACTGGGCCAGGGAAAGGTGCCGCGACAACCCGTCCCCAATCCTGCCTGCTTTTTGCCTTCGTTTTCCACCACTTTCTACTACCACTGGATCCCCTCCAGCGATTTCCACCTTCGCTCCAAATCGCTTCTTTCCGTCTGATTTGACATCTAGGGCCTTGGACTCCCTTGGCTTCGCCGTGAACGCGGAAAACGAGGACAGACCAGCTGTGCCACTTGACTTGAACTTGAATTATCAGCTGGTACTCTTGTACGCTACATATCGATGTATATTTGATCCGCAGGTCTGAAACAGAAGATGCATGAATCAAGCCTCCTCCGCAGACGTCTCGTCGTTTAGCTTTTCATCCGTCTGGGTAATGGATGAAATATTGAACCAATTCCAATTGAGTGTTTGTGTGCTAAACGCCATTGCATCATCTCCTCGAACAGGGAGAGAGAGAAAAAAACTAAAATCTAAAAATACATTTTGTATCATGTAGAAGAACAGGGCGGTTATTTCGCAAGTATGTATATCGACACACACACACACCCACATTGAGGAAGCCATCAAGTACAAAAGAAAAGGAAAGATCCCGCGAGGTGCTTAGTTCTTCTCAGGGACGGCGTCGGCCTCGGCCTCGACGCCCTTCTCCTTGAAGGCGTTGTCGGCCAGGATCTCGATATCGCCGCTGTGGATGCGCTTCTGGCCGGGCATGACATGGTCGCGGGTGAGATCCAACTCGCCGTGGCGGACGCGGTCGGGCCACTGGGCGGCGAACTGGGCATCGTGGAGATCGGTCCAGAGGATCTTGACGCCGTTCTCGGCCTGCAGCAGGGCGGCGGTGGCGGGGTCGTCCTCGACGACCTCCTGGATCTTGTAGTCGATCTGGGGCTTGCTCAGGACCTTCTCGAAGTCGGCGACGCGGGCGGCCTGGCGGGCGGCGACGGCGGCCTCCTTGACGCGGGCCTGGCGGCGGCGGCGGCGGGCGGCCTTGCCGAGGTAGCCGCGCTGGCCGCTGGCGAAGCCGTTGGCGATCTCCTCGGCCTGGATGTCGAGGACGGCGGCGACGTCGGCGACGGAGGTGGCCTTCTGGTTCATGACGACGCGGGCGCGGTCCTTGGGCTTCATCAGCCACCCCTTCTTGTCGGCCCACTCCTTGTCGAACTCCTCGGCCTTGTGCGGGTCGCGCGGCCGCTTCTGCGCCAGCCACTCCTCCGTGATGGTGACCATCTCGCGCGGCGGGGCCAGCTGCCGCTGCATCGCGAACTCGCGCAGCAGGTGGTAGGCCCGCAAGCCGAGCTGCGCGCTCGTGAAGTGCACGCTGTAGTAGGGGACCCACATGTCTTTGCGCAGGGTCGCCGGCACCGTCTTCTTGCCGTGGTAGACCAATTGGCGGAGGACACTGTTTTTCTAATGTAGAGGTAACAGAGAAGAGAGTGTGTGTCAGTGTGTGCTATTCTGAAGAAGAGGGGGAATAATTCTTGTTGTCTCTCTTTTTGTTTTTTTCATGTTTGATGCTTCGGGAAAGTTGTGGGTTCGGGAGGTTTGTGCTCACATCCAAATATCTCGTCAACGAGTACACCACCTGGTTGGTCCGCATGTTGTGATAGACGAAGATGTTCTTGCCGTGGGTCAGGGCGTTCAGGGCCTTGCGTAACCGCGTCCCCTCCAACACCTGGTGTGTCTTGAAGGCATTCGAGAACCGGTCGCGGCGCCGTCCCTGGATGACGGTGTGCTCGTCGATCGGGGGCCGACGCACCACGTTCCATGTGCCCATCTTGGTCGGGTCCAGGACCTTCTGGATCGGTTGCAGGATCTTCTTCATCGTGCCGCGCTTGGGGACGGCGGCTTGGGTGGCTGGCGTGGCCATTGCGGCCGGGGTTTGCGCGGTGGGTGTGTGTGTTGGGTTGGGTTGACTTTGTTGCTTTTCTGGTGCTCCGGGTCGGGGGAAGAGGTAGATGGATCGGTAGGGTTGTGGTTGTGGTCTCTCTTCACTCTATCAGATATTCCCGGGATCCGATAGAGGAGGAATTGGGTGGAATGGGTGTAGAGGTGGAAGTGGGTGAGGCTCTCTCACACCCGGGAAAGTCGAATAGGCAAGTTGCAAGTTTGGAGATCGGCCAGGAAAGGCGGATCAATTTTTCGACGGTTTCCCCGAACGGGGCGGTCGATTCCGCCCGCCTTTTCTGGACCACCAACTGACGGACGGGTCAGCCTAGCTTACGGGGAGTACTTGTGTTTGCTTTGCTGCACTCCCTCCAACTGCTTGCATCAATCGCTGCGGCGTGCGATCAGCTTCCCTACTTTACTTTCCCCCCCCCCCCCCCCACCTCGACACATTACGTCGTTTGCGATACTTAATTCTTTGACTCCTTCTCTGCCTCTCTTTCTCTCTCTGTTGACTGTCGCTCTAAGAAGCTAGTTGGTTTTGCTTTGCTAGATACCCAATTCCAATTGTCGTCATTTCATCTGATCCTTCTTGCTTCCCCTACTCCGTCCTTGTCTAGGATGATCGGGCCAATACTGCCTTCGCAGTGCGACAGCTAAGCTTGCCTTGCTTTCTCTTTGACCTGCCCGCGATGGCCGATGACAATGCAGGCGGTCGCCGTGAAAGACCTTGGCATTTTCCTCTGGTACCTTCTGGCCGTGTCATGTTGATTGTGTCTATCCTCGGGCCAGACAACTGATTACCGTCTGTCTAGAATCGCAAGCTGCGACATCTCCAGAGCATCTCCGTCCGCAACCTCGTCGTCACACCACCGCCGACCAAACCTCGCGGGAAACCCATCGATGACGAAGATGTACCCAATTCATTGCAGTCGCCTTCCAAAGTCCCGATCGCCGATGTCAATCATTCCCTGCACCCGTCGCGCTCCTTTACCGATCTGAAGTCGTCGGCAACCACCAACCATCGTTCCGGGAGTCATAAGCAGGCAGCAGCAACACCACCACCACCACCCGCAGGCCCCCCATTACGACAATGGCATCGGAGGAACACCATGCCGTGGAATGCTCCCAATCCTCGCGCGAGACAGACGAAGCTGGAAGAGATTACAAGCAGTCGCATGGCCGATACCTGGTTCTCCCTCCACTGCGACGGCGTCGAGGAGCCGGTCTACGTGAGCGAACCGGTCGAGCATGCTACGAACCCTAGCTTCCGGTCTTTCGATCTCAACATGTGCGGCCCGTCAGTGTCACGACGGGATCATCTGACTGTCAAGCTCTGGGCCAAGACCCAAGCAATGGGGGACTTTGTGCTGCTGGTGGAACTGCGTTTATGCTTGCAGTCACTCCAGTTCCTGGGGAAGTCGCTGGATAGCTTCCATCAGCCGCTGCCGGTGAACTCCGTCCTCTTCCACTTTGCCGACGGTGTGTACACGAATTTGACCGATCTCCCACCGGTCCTGGCTGCTGTGCCCGTACACTACTCCAAAACGGCAGATGGCGCGGCGATGTCGACCTCGTCGTACGAGGCGCTCATGAAACTGGCCAATCTGGATGAGTGCATCCAAGATGCGCTCACCACCAGGGACCGGATTGAGGCGCAGATCAACTCGATCCTCGACAGGAAACAACGCGGGGTGGCCGCCGCCGGGAATCTCTCGCAGGCTCGGAATAAACTCGCAGTCACCAAGCATGCCATTGCTACCGAGCGCCGGCATCTCCACAGTGCTGCAAGGCGTAGGGATGAATTGGTTAATAGCATCAAGACCAGAAGAGAGGCCATGGAGCATGGGCGTGATGTCCAGGCCAGGGCCAGGAGCCACCTTCCCGATGCGCAATCGAAACTGGGCTCAAGTGCCAGGCTACTGGATAAGAACACTGAGGACTCGAAGGGTCAGATCCGGCGTATCTCGGAGGACTTGCTGACGGTCTACCCGATCGAGCCCATTCCCAACAAGCCACTTGCCTTCACCATCGCGGGCCTGGCTTTACCCAACTCGGATTTTACCGACGTCGACCGCGACGAGGTGGCGGCGGCCCTTGGATATACCGCCCACCTGGTCTACCTTCTATCCTTCTATCTCTCGACCCCGATCCCATACGCGATCAACCCGTATCTGTCGCGCTCGTTCATTCAGGACCCGGTGTCTGCATCGCTGCCCCAGAGGACCTTCCCCCTCCACCCAGCCAGCGTGCAGTACCGATTCGAGTACGGCGTGTTTCTGCTGAACAAGGACATCGAGTTCTTGCTGAATGTACAGGGTCTACGCGTCCTGGACATCCGACATACCCTTCCGAATCTCAAATATCTGCTCTACGTGCTCACGGCCGGCACGTCGGAGATTCCGGCCCGCAAGGCGGGAGGCATCCGTGGGCTTCTCCCGGGACGATTGACTCCCAGCATGTCTCGACGCGGCAGCGAAGAGAGTGTGGCGACGCGCGAGTCGGTCGTATCTCGCAAGGCGGTGATGAGTCCCGCTCCCAAGATGAACGGGAGTTTGGTGATTGATAGGACCAAACCGGCGACGACGGCCATCCCTAGCTTCCCCGACACGGCTGCTTCTTCGGTCGCCTGAGCAGAGCGCAAGTGGCCCGCCAGCATTGACTCTGGAGTGAATGCTTGGTCCTTTTTAAGAATCTGGGGGTGGTGGGCGGCGCATATTATCTAATATTTCTACTTTGTTGGCGTAAGACATGATTTTGTTTCGTCTTTTCTCTTCTCTTTTTTCTTTTGGTTTTTCTTCTATCGGATGAATTCCATTGGAGAGTTGCTGCATTACTTGGATTAGCGTGACTGTGACCGGGGGTGTTCGTTCCCTTGATCCGCCTTATCGCAGCCAGCCATTGCACAGCTGAGGTCGGTTGTTGCTTTCTCACCTCCCAGCTGTATTCGTGATGGGTTGGTTGCTTAGTGTATTGTACATATTTTATCCGTTTGGACGTTATGGGTCCCCACTGTATCTGTAGGATATGAAAGACTATTGACATGCGATGCAGCCGTGAAAGTATACGTATACCTTGGTCGTCACCGCTGGTTTTCCTGATCGGGGGAATTCTGGACTGGATCCCGTGATTCTGACGAGGAATAGCCCGGAGTTTATTAGGATTACGATTGATAACAGATATAAGCCAGCATTCAGTCAGAGGCTGGCGATTTGTTTTTACCCCGCATTTCTCAGCTGACGGAAGAACTGTCCGGGTGGTGTTGGTCCAAGAAGTTGTGATTGAGTGGTTGTGGTGGTAGTGGTGCATCTTGAAAGGCATAAGTTGATGTGATGAATGTTGCTACTATTCTTGGTAGAAAGGACAATTAGTGTGTTGTTCAATGGTTGAAACTTGATTTTCTTTTTTTTCTCCATTCTCTCTCTCTCTCTCTCTCTCTCACAAACACTCTCCGCATTTTGAGAGGTTGGTCGTATCTCCACTTGCTTCTTTTCCTTTCCTTCGCGGTCTCTGGAGGGAGACTAAGGTAAACTTTCCGAGGGAAAGTGAGTGAGTGGGTGTGTGTGTGGGTTGGGTTGTTGTGAAGAATAGAGAGCACTGCCGGACTAAAGAGAGAGAGAGATAAGGGAAAAGCAAAGGAAAGGTTGCTTCACTGCTGCCTGGGGCCGGAAAGACCACAACAAACGGTTGTGCTGCTGCTGCTGCTGCTGCTGCTGCTGGTTCTTTCTGTTGCTTATTGCTGTTCCCGGCCTTACTCTCTCTCTTCCCCCCCCCCCGTCTTGCGTCTTGCCTTAATATTATTTTGTCCCCCCACCGCTTTTTCTCGGTCGCTGTCCGTCCTCCGACATAGGAGACTCATCATGGCAGCACCTGCGAATACCGGCCCTCAGGAGCCTCTCTATTCGCACAACGGGCAAGACCAGAGTCAGAAGTCTCCATCGCCCCAGTCCCAGGCCCAGTCCCAGTCCCAGTCGTCCCAGCATCGTCGTGGATACCAGGCCTGCGACCCGTGCCGAAAGCGCAAGGTGAAGTGCGACCTTGGCAGTAAGAGAGATCCCCTGTCCCGTCCCCTCTAATTTTTTCCCTTACCTTTCATTTGTGTTCCCCGGACTTTCTGGCTAGAATTATGCGGTCGCGAAATTCTACTTGAATGGAGAAACACTAAATTCTGATTCTATTATCTCCTCAGGTGTGGATAATCCTCGTCCTCCTCCTTGTGTGCGATGTCGCCGCGAAAGCAAGCGTTGCGAGTTCTCCGCGACGAGGCGCAAACGCAAGCCCTCGGATGCGGACGAGACGGAGGATGCGGCCCTTCGTCGCGATAAGCGGATGATGGTCGGAGAGGTCATCTCCAGCCACGACTCTAACAACAGCGATGGATCACCGTATATACCCTCACTGGAGCATGCGTCCTCTTCGACTGCCACTGCTGCTGCGGCGGCACCTTCTACGCTAGACACCAACAACAACCACACCCTCGGCCATCCGCGACTCAAGTGGTCGGAAAGTTCACCTGCCGCTGCTCAATTACCACCACCAACTGTCGGCAGCCACCACCAGCGTTACACTACTACCACCACCCCCTCCACCTCCACCACTACCAATAATCCCCAGTCCACGCCCGCAGCACATTTCGCCGATGCGCGGAGTAACCGTCTGTCGGTCTTCTCGGCCGCGGAGAGGAGCCATGCGCCCAGTTTCAGCCTCGAGGGCGGCCAGCCCATGATGAACCGCACCGCCGTCGAGCTGCTGTCGCCCGCCATCAGCAACAGTCACGACGCCTTGCACCTTCTGTCCGAAGCCGCCGGCCGCACAGAAGACCTCAATCGCCAGAGTTTGGAGAATCGTTACGGAGCGCGCCAGTCGGTCTCGTCGTTCAACTCCCCCATGTCCCCGCTCACCCAGGCGGGCACCCCGCGCAGTGCAGGCGGGTCGTTGTCGAGACCCCAGCGGTCCGGCACCGTCCCCGTCGGGGGTGGTTATTACCAGGCTGGTGGCGCCGGGGTGATGGATGGCGCCCAGCATCCGGATGGTCGTGGGCAGGCGGACGCGACGGAGAATGCGCCAGACCCGGGCTTCGTGGATGCGGTCCGGGCATGGTCGCGATTGCGGTTCGTTCGTGCCGGTTGGCTGTCGGTGGAAGAGGCTATGGCTTATGTTGCATAGTATGTATTTCGGTTGCTTTGGTGGACAAATCTCCCTCGTACTGATGGATATGGCAGCTACTACGAACACCTGGCTCCCTTGAGTCCCATCGTTATCCCGGACTTCTCTCACCCGTCGACGCATCGGAGTCTGCTTACGGATGAGCCTGTCCTGGCGGTGGCGATCTTGACAACCGCGTCGCGGCATATGAAGCCGAAAGGCGATGGGGCTTATACACGGGCGTTCTACATCCACGATCGGCTTTGGTCGTATCTCCGCGGTATGATCGAGCGTCTCTTCTGGGGCCAGGAGAAGTTTGACAACAACGGCATGGGGATCAGCCGGCCGCGGTCGTTCGACCTCGCGCCTACGTCTGCCAAGGTGAATCACAAGGGCAATCTGCGGTCGCTCGGTACTATCGAAGCGCTGCTTGTCCTGACCGACTGGCATCCTCGAAATCTCCATTTCCCTCCAGGTGACGACGAGAACGCTCTCCTGGATCTGGATGCTCACACGCAGAGTCGATACGAGCGAGAGCTGGAAACTGATGCGGAGAACACGGCGAATCGTGCCCCCAACAACGCCGCGGAGGGTCGGCTCGCCTTCCAGAAATGGCTCGAACCCGCCTGGCGGTCGGATCGCATGGCTTGGATGCTGCTCAGTACGGCGCAGGCGCTGGCCTTCGAGCTCGGAGTCTTCGATCAGAAGAACGACGCCAAAGCTGCCGTCGAATCTTTGTCCGAGCAGACTCGCAAACGCCGACTACGCCGTCTGATCCTCGTCTACATCACGCAGAGCAGTGGCCGCTTGGGAATCCCGTCCATGCTGCCCCTTCCGCAGTGGACCAGTGACATCCAACCGACTCCCGTGACGGGCGCGAAGGGCAGTGATACCATCGTCGACCGCATGCATGACTGCTGGATTGGAATCTCCAAGATCATGTACCAAAGTAATCAGCTGCTTTTCGCATCGAACGAGCAGACCTCGGAGCTTATCCGGAGTGGACGGTACCGGGATCAGATCGATCGGTTCCAGCCTTTTTTGAGGGAATGGCGACATAACATCGATACCATTGATTGTAAGTGATTTCCTAGGATTCCCATTCAAGATGCTAACCGGACCAGTGGCGCCCCCTATGAGGAACATCCTGATGATTGAATATGAGTATACCCGTGAGTTGTCCTGTGCTGTGTTGTAAGGTAGTGTGACTGACGGTCCAGGGCTCTACGTCAACTCCCTGGCGCTTCAGGCGGTGGTGGATCGGTGGACGACGATGTCAAACGAAGCGGCCCAGAGCCAGATGTCACGACCGAATGCGGGCCCGTCGGCGAGCGGAGTTGGGTTTCACGTGCTCATGGAGTTGTATCGGGTCAACGAGCCTTACATCCAGGAGGTGGTCGATGCATCGCGCAAGATTCTGCAGACGGTGCTGGAGGTGCTTGTTCCTGGGGACCATCTCAAGCATGCGCCGGTGCGGACGTGTTTCCGCATTCTGTCGGGGATGATCTTCATTCTCAAGGTATGTATAGTGTGCGTCTGTCCGCCGACGGAATCCGCGCTGACATTTGCACACCTAGACTTTCACTCTGGGTGCCAAGGAGGATGATGTGCGTGTGTCCCTGGACCTCCAGGACCGCACCATTGAGGCCCTGCGGACCTGCGTGGTTGACGATGTGCACCTCAATCATGCCATTGCGCGACTGTTGGAGCTGTTGACGACCAGCATCCGCACGCGCTTCCTCCGGTTCGCCCCGCTGGACCGCGGTGGGGACGGGGAGCAGGAGCGCCCGTCGGCGCCGGTGTCACGACATCAGTCGCCGCGGCCGCGCGACGGACCTCCGGGCCGTCGCGAGGGGTCCAGTCACACCTGGACGCCGGCGCAGCAGACCACGCCGGCGCAGAACCAGAACCTGGGGTATGTCGACGGGACGAGCCAGACGGGGACGACCAGCATGAGTTCCTCGGTGCATGACCCCCTGGCGGCGATTCCCGCGCAGTCGATCAACTCGTCGCACATCAACGTCTCGTTCATGCCCCCTCCGCCGTCCATGTACCACAACTACTACGACCCTAGCGCGACCCCGCCTGCAGGGGAGATGGAAGGGGGCGGCGGTGCGGCGGCGGCGTCCGCCTCGACGACGACGAGCAACAACCACCACAACAACAACGTCACCGCGTCGCAGTCGATGCCGGACAACAACCCCAGCACCTCCGGCGGACTCCCGGACTGGTTCGCGCTCCCGCTGGATCAGTTCTTCAACAGTTCCACCGCGGTAGTGGACCAGGGGCTGGGCGGCACGGGCCCGATGGTGGGGGAATTCGACATGTTGGAGGTCCTGCTTAATGAACAGTATGATGGTGTGGGTGTTGGCGTTGGCGCGGAGGGGAACGATGCTGCCGCTGCCGCTGCTGCCAACCTGCCCTCGCAGTTTTTGTCATCGTGAGATCCGATGTATTTTGGGGAGGGTTTGTAATTAGGAGATAAGGGGACGCAGAGTGGGTGGTATGACTGTACGAATTACGATATCATATTTTTTTTTTGGTGTTGTGTATCTCGATTAGCTAGGTCTGTGGTTGTATTGTACTACACAATCTACTGCTGCTGCTGCTGCTGCTGCCGCTGCTGCAGGTCTCAGATGCGTCATTTCGGGGCCCGGTTACCTCACCCACTGTTATCATTTCTAGTCGGTATGAGGTTATCAGTGCGTTTATCAGTGCCGATAGTCTATCTCCTGACCCTCACGGTCACTTATTTGAGTGAAGTAGTCCCTGTGGTGTCGGGGTCTGGTGTAGTAGGGGTTCAACTAAGGGGGGGTAATTGTTTAGCAGTGCCTTAGCCAAGCCAAGTCAAGTTAATCTAAAATCCCAGGGTCCAATAATTCATCGTGGTATTCTGGTTCACTCGCCACGGACAGGTAAATACCTTAACTTACTGCTGACTCCTGCCCTGACAACTTGGCGAAAACCGCCCATCTCCGCGGTGTAATTGGTTCGTAGCGAAAGTGAGCGATGTGCCGGGGCCGGACGGGGGGGCCGTCCTACGGTACGAAGTAGTAAGCGGGTACTAAATAGTAGGTAAGTTATTCAGCTCCCCTATCCTTATCAGTGATTCTAAATCCGGAGTCCCGGTGGTTTTCGAGGCTCGAGCCTTTCGATAGAGGACTGGGACTGGGACTGGGACTGGGACTGGGACTGGGACTGGGACTGGGACTGGGACTGGGACTGGGAACAGGGTCTCGAGTCACATTCATTTGCTGCAGCCCGCGCGCGCAGCCTTGTAATTTCCCCCCTCGACCCTGCAGGAAGCATATCAACAGGGCACCAGACCCTGCAGGATTTTGATTTGTGCAGATCGGGTGGGGGTCCAGATTTGGCGAATGAGGATCCTGGCATTAGGGGATTAAATTGACCATTGGCCGTTGAAGTCAAGTGTGAGGGGTACCTAGTACTGTACTGTACGGTAGCTGTAGGTGAAGACCGGAGGCTGCCGAGGCCGAGGTCGAACTTCCCGTTGCAACTGGCATGGGTTGGTTATGTTGCATTGCATATATTATGGTTACCCACTTGGGGGGTGGACAGGACAGGAGCACCGTCGGAGGTTTGGGTCTGGGCATTTTTAGTTTGGTTTAGTTTACTCTGTTGATGCCAATGGCTCAGATCATTGTGATGTTGTAGGCTCAGGGTCTTGGGGTAGGCAGGCTTGGCTTGGCTGCTCCCGTCTATACCGTCTATAGGGCTTCTTAGGGTTTACTTAGGGCTGTGCTGGACAGTACTCCAGAGTACTGTTGCTGGATCCCAAGGAGATGATTGGGGTTTGAGGCACAGTGCGATATACTATCTTCTCTTCTTTTGATGGAACGAAGTAATGGTTTATTCAATAGGGGTTCTGATTGTTTGGAGACAGTCTAGTTCAGGCACAAAGAGGGGGAGGGAGAAAGATCCCTGAGTGTTCCGGAGTCCGTTCGAACGTCCGCCAGCGTCAGACGGAGTAGCTACATACACTTCACCTAAAAGTATATTCGCTGAAGAAGACGGGAGGGGGGCGATGAGTTGGAGCGTGAGGATTGGAGCAAGCAATTTCTTGGTCTTCTTGGTACTCTGGTGAAGACTGCAGAATCTCTTATCCCCAATCAAGCTACTCGCGAAGGATTGCCAGGCACGGGCAGTCTGATGCTCGACGATGAGTGGTCACTAGCCATATAGTCTCGTGCTTGGCGGAATCGGGGCGGGGGGGATAACCTCATGCGGATAAGGCTGGCCATTGGACAACTCCCCCCACTAGATTAGCGGCGATGATCGTCGGTCTTTGCTTCCTGATGGATTGGTAGTGCTCCGGCCTCCGTTGGCGTGATTGAGGGGACTGAGACATTTCGATATTACCCTTGGCCGTAGTATACACTCGGGGAGATAGAGCATGGTCGGTCTATGCTCGTGCTTGGAAGAGCATGTATGCAGAGTGTAAGGACTGGGGATGTACAGCACGGCTGCAGAAGGTATAAAGAGCACTCTGAAACCCGCTTCGATTGGGATTCTCTTCTTCATCCAGCAGCAGCAGCAACAGCGGCAGCAGGTCCTTCTCCTTCTCCTTCTCTTCCTCCTCTCTTCCTCCTCGTGATATCTGCTTGAACATCCCCTCATCATGGTCGTCCTCAACAAGGCTGCAGCCCTTCTTCTGGGTCTGACCACCGCCGCCACTGCGGCTCCTCTGGCCGAGACGCAGGCTTCTGTCCCGGTCAAGAACTTCTCCGTCAAGCAGGTCGAGAAGGAGGGCAGCAAGGGACGCACCGTCAACCTGCCGGGTCTGTATGCGAATGCGCTGGCCAAGTATGGCGCCCAGGTGCCCGCCAGCGTCAAGGCCGCCGCCGTCAGTGGCAGCGTCGTGACCACCCCGCAGGCCAACGACGTCTCCTACCTGACCCCCGTCACCGTGGGCAGCTCGACCTTGAACCTGGACTTCGACACCGGATCCGCCGATCTCTGGGTCTTCTCCTCGGAGCTGGCCGCCTCCTCGCGCACCGGCCACAGCATATACACCCCCGGCAGCACCGCCCAGAAGCTGTCCGGCTACAGCTGGAGCATCTCCTACGGCGACGGCAGCTCCGCCAGCGGCGACGTCTACAAGGACAAGGTCACCGTCGGCACGGTGACGGCCAGCAGCCAGGCCGTCGAGGCCGCCAGCCGCATCAGCTCCGAGTTCGTCCAGGACACCGACACCGACGGTCTGTTGGGTCTGGCCTTCAGCTCGATCAACACGGGTAAGCCTCCCTCTCTCCTTACTGTTTCGTTCATCAGGTGTACTGATCCAGCGGTGCAGTCTCCCCCCGGGCCCAGACCACCTTCTTCGACACCGTCAAGTCCAGCCTGGACAGCCCCCTCTTCGCCGTCGACCTGAAGTACCACGCCGCCGGCACCTACGATTTCGGGTTCATCGACTCCTCCAAGTACACCGGCTCCCTGACCTACGCCAACGTCGACGACTCCCAGGGCTTCTGGCAGTTCACCGCCAGCGGCTACAGCGTGGGCTCGGCCTCCCACTCCTCCTCTTTCTCTGCCATTGCTGGTACGTTGCCTGCCTGTCCCCTTCTTCCCAGCTATAAATGCCCCCCTCCCCCTTAAAATCTCATACTTATGGACGCAGACACCGGCACCACCCTCATCCTCCTCGACGACTCCATCGTCTCCACCTACTACAAGAGCGTCAGCGGCGCCTCCTACAGCTACAACTACGGCGGCTACGTCTTCTCCTGCTCCGCCAGCCTGCCCAGCTTCAGCGTCAAGATCGGCTCCTACACCGCCGTCGTCCCCGGCAAGTACATCAACTACGCCCCCATCTCCACCGGCAGCTCCACCTGCTACGGCGGCATCCAGTCCAACGAGGGCCTCGGCCTGTCCATCCTGGGTGATGTCTTCCTCAAGAGCCAGTACGTGGTCTTTGACTCGCAGGGTCCGAGAATCGGGTTCGCCGCGCAGGCTTAGGTTATTTGATTGGGGTTGTGCGACTGTGGATGTGGGTGATGCTTAGTTGTGGTCTAGCTGGTGGTCTATGTGGGCGTGGATATGGTACTGTATATAGTACTGTACATAAGGGGGGTGGTGAACATATGGTCTGGTCGATGAATATATGTCTTTGATGTTTATGGTTCTGTGGATAAATGGATTTTGGTGTAGACTTGTTTTTTGCAGTGTAATTGGAGGTCTCGGTGCAGTCCTGTACTTCGCGAAATAAAGTTAGGTGCCATGGAAATTTCTGCGGTAGCGGTCGATGCTCCATCGTCATTTGCTTTAGTACCTGCGCAACTGCAGGAAGAATCGGCGCAGGTGGGAAGGATCGACAGATGAGATCTTGGTCGACAGCGTCGCAGCCCTAAGAAGCATCACGCCGGCGGCAGCAGAGCGTATCAGGCATCGACGACCCTCCATGGGAGCTGTTGCCACTCAAGGAAGAAGTGCCATAGGCCATAGCTGGATCCGGGGTTATGCACTGGCTAAGAATGGTATGTATGTCTCCATTGACCCCATGCAATCCTGGGGTGAGTATGTAGCGTGCGTGATGTGCCTCCCAAGCCGCACGAGGCTATATTTACAGACTGAACGCAGATATAATATAAGCGCCCGGATGGTCTAGTGGTATGATTCTCGCTTTGGGTTTGCAGCTTAAATGCGAGAGGCCCCGCGTTCGAATCGCGGTTCGGGCCACTTCTTTTTTTCGCTTTCGATGTGGTGTGCCTGCCCCCTTCCCTTCCTGTGGGATCTTCGATCTGAAAAGTTAGGTGTTTTATTTTGATAGTGTATCTGTCTTGATCTAATTGCTGTCGTCTGGCTAGTACTCCATTCCGTGTTCTTGGGGGGTTTTATGCTGGTTGTTTTGCCGCGGTTCTCCGGAGTGGTTTACCAGATAAGTTTGGAGAGCGCGAGGGGAATATAACTTGCATTTTCGGATCACTCGCTTTTCCTCTCGTGTGCACTCACCACCTTATTTTCATCCCATAAGAAATCCCGACAGAGACCAGAGCAGATGTGGGGTGAGCAGGAGTCGAGCACCGCTCTTTCATTATGGAGTACACCCACCGTCGCCACGGGAAGTAGTCTGTTCCCCTGCACCAGGAAATGACCAGTCCCGCGAGCTGGATACACGCCCCGAACATAACCTCAGGCATACGGACGGAATGTACTACTATGCGATATGCAATCCAATTTAAATCCTCAAGCGAGAGAATGATTGTAGAAGGGCCAGTTGTATCAGCACAAGGGAGAGTGGTCCATCGTCAACGTCTGAGGCATGACAGCTCCAGCTGGCCAGGCCCAGCTGTGGACTTTCAAATATTCTTCGACATCAGGGCTACCCACTCTGGGTGCTATGATTCAAGGCAGTGACTTGTTTTGATGCTCCATGACTACAGACCGCTGCTCGATATGTGACTGTGAGAGAGTAGGAGCCAGCAAAGGGTGCAAGGCAGGTACAGTCAGGATCAGCTCTACGCCTCCGCTCTGATGATATCCGCCGCCCTCTCCGCCACCGCGTACACGGTAGACATGATATTTGCCGCCGGGATCAAAGGAAAGATACTCGCATCGCAGACACGCAGGTTGGTGGTTCCGTACACCCGCAGGCGCTCGTCCACCACGCCTCCTTTCTCCCGGGCAAGCATGGCCACGGTGCCACATGAATGATAGGTGGTGGTGGCCGTGTCACGGAGGTATCTCTTGGCGGAGTCGAGGTCCGTGAGAATGGCGTCCGGGTGATTGCGGCGGCCATCGGCAGCCAGATAATCCGCGAGCGGCCTCCGACCGTGGAGGCGCTCCACGTCCAGCAGGTTCCGGGCCATGATGTCCAGATCGAGCGGGTTCGAGAAATAACGAGGATCGATGGTCGGGGGCGCGTCCGGGTCCGCCGAGGCGATATGCACCGCTCCCCGGGAGAAGGGCAGACTCTGGGAGAGGCCCAGGCTGAGGTAATTGCCCGGCAGAAGCTCTTGGCCGACGAAGCTCTTGCCGTCCTGGTGGAGGTTGGCCTGCGCCAGGAACATGAACATCGAGCAGGTGGGCGCATCCATTCCCCCGTAGATGTCTCGGATCACTTCGTGGCGAGCATCGGGGTCACCGGGGAAGGTCTCGAGATGCGCCCGCTTCGCTTCCTGGTGGCCATGAAACTCGATGATAGGCATGTAGGCGCAGGATTGCACGCCGCCCACGGTCATGGGCCCGGCTTTGTGCTCGGCATACAGTTGCAATGCAGTCTGGATCGCGTCGGGCTCCTGCCGCAGAAGCGGATCACCGGTGACCACCCCGGGCTTCACCTCGAAGCTGATCCCACTCATGAGATGGTCCTGGAGATTCTCGCCGACGCTGGGGTTGTCGATCACAACCGGAATGTTGAACTTGTCGAGAATGGCTTGACCTCCGATGCCGGACAGTTCGAGCAGCCTTGGAGTGTTGAGGGCCCCGGCAGTCAGAATCACCTCCTTTTTCGCCTTGACGACTGTAGCTTGTCCTTCAATGTCTGCGTCCACTCCCGTGGCGGTAACCCCTTTCTCTCCCGACTCCAGACGAATGCGACGGGCGATCGCGTTGGTGAGGATGCGCACGCTCGGACGCTGGCTGGAGGGCACGCCATAGCCCGTGGCTGCATAACTGCGGGTCTTGGTTTCTGCATCGACAGCGGCCAGGTTGGAGTAACCGCCGGTTGAGACCCCTGAGAAAGGATCGCCGGTGATGCCGTAGCCCATTGCTCGAAACGTGTCCACCCACGCCTTGGACAGCGGGTCTTGTCGTACGGCTGGGAAGGAGACCTTGATCGGGCCCGACGTTCCGTTGACCTCGGGGTCAACCCAGCTGGTGCCGATATGGTCCCGGGTGTTTCCGTCTGGCAGCTGCAGGGTGAAGGCCTTGCGGTAGTACGGGGAGAGAGTCGCCCAGTCCCAACCCGTTGCACCCAGTTTCTCCCAGCCATCGATTCCCGCCTTGGTGGGCGCGATAAATGCCTGACCGTTGATCCCGGATGAGCCACCTAGCAGCTTGCCCTGAGGCTCTTTGATGACTCGATTCCCGAGAGCAGGCTGATGATCGAAATCAGCATTCGTGCTTGGCACGTGAGGCAAAAGAAGCATACCTGAGGCGTGGACTGATACTGCCAATCTGCTTCGGACCCCATCAGGGTGGTCCAGAGGGCCGGGGTCTGAACTCGGGGGTCCTCGACTAGGTTCTTCCCTGCCTCCAGGACGATCACAGAGCGGGCCGAGTCGCCCTCGGACAGTCGAGCAGCGAGAACGAGACCGGACGTTCCCCCTCCGACGATCACGTAGTCGGCTTCGAGCGGAGTGTCTACTTGAGGGTCCATCGTTGATGGGGTGGGTGAAATAGACAGGGTAGCAATATGTAATTAGGGTACTATGGGCTGACGGTTCGCCCACGGGAAACTGGGTTGCGATCGCGGTATTTATAGGAGACCCGGTTGCTTGATGCGGTAGTTACCATACTGTAGTGTAGTTTAAAGCAACATGGGACGGTAATAACACAGCCTTTGATCATGGATTACGAATAAGTCATGGGTGGGTTGGCCAATGGGGATGGTGGGCCTCCACTGGCTCTAGTTAGGGCTTACAGTTGTAAGCGTAAGCACTAGGTTGCCTGCCGTAGACAGCAAGATACCTTGTCCACCGAGTAAGTTAGTATTAGTTAGTTGGTTAGTTAGTACTAGTACCTTAGTCACCACACTAACATCGACGGGGGCTCGATCTAGTGTCCAGTCGCCGCCATATGCAAGGATCATTTGAATTGACGGGCCTGAGATGATCGCTCCTCATTTCGCCCCTATTATTCCGACAAATATGGTTCCTTGATGCGCCCGAGTCTAGTGCTTACTCGTGCGTTGATGGTCTCTGCTTCCTACGCCCCCACCCACCAGCAACAGCATTATATACAGACAGTTTCATTCTTGCTAGTCTGCTATTTTTCCTTGACTTGGTGTCTCTTCGCCCGTTATCACGCGGAGTAGTAGGCTAGCCCCGTCTCCCCCCTCGATTTATATCCACGAGCACAAGTCCCTCCATTTCAGTCGTCCCTGTCACTCGAATGAGATTCTTTGCAGATATATACAAGTTTCAAGTGTCCGATAGTACTCTGCAAGGCCAATAAGCACCTCTGCTCTTGTCCTGCACTTGTACAGAGTCCCACAGCCATAGCTAAGACACACAAGATCGACCACAGTTAAGCATTGAACCTCGTTTTACTGTTCTTGCAGTATGCGCCGTGGGACTCTGGCTGTATACGCAGCGAGTCACTCGATGTGAGTCTAACGTCAGTGAGTATACGCTTGTTATTGGCACAGTAGGCAACCCTGGGAACTCTTGGATTCCTGTTCACGTCGACACTGTCAGTGTCACAATCGTTGGTTACCTCGGTAAGTGACCCTATCGGATTCGTCCAACTTAAGCCGATGCTAATTATCTTCAAGTGGTCTATGCTGGCGGTGCTGGAAAACGTGCCACTGGGCTAGCCGGACAGGGATGGAGGATGTTCTGAGTCTATGAGCGGCTCTGTCATGTTTGCGCACATAGAATCATACTAACTCTCTGAAGCAGGTTATTGATGGGTTTTTGTGTCTGACTCCTGATCTAGATACCTGATGCACTTTGACTTTGAAGGGCCATGGTCAACCCACGGTGGAAGAAATGGACTTGTGTTGCCTCTCTGATTACGGCCCTGGTGTTTCTGCTTCTTTTGGGGATATGCCTGCTTCTCTTGCGGGAGGGCTGAGAGGGGAGCTAGGCTTGCCCGGGGGGTGATATGGACGGCGGCGGTCCTCAGGCGCGTGAAGGACACTTTACTTTAACCCAGCCAGGCAAGAATCGACCCCCACTTTTTAAGTAACAAAAACATACAACAGAAGGGATTCGCTGGTGGTCACCCACCCAACTACTAACCTCCCGGCGTGTGGCTTGAGTACGGCTGAGCGGACGGGAAGCCCTATTTTCCACACCCTGTGGTCGTATGTGCCAATTGACTGTCTAGAAGTCACTATAACTAACGTGATTGTCTACTACATTTCCATTCCATGTTGAAACTCACTCCTGTCGCCACCTGCGTTTGAAGCAGTGAGTTTTCTTAATCACTGGCTCCAAGCGAAACCTCTCAGAGCCCTCTCCCCGAAAAATGCTCCCTGGGTCCTGATCGGTCCGAGGACAAAGAGGTCCCTTACGTGAACCTTTCGCTGATCGCGATATCATGAGTAGTGAGATAAATGATTAACTTTAGTCCAAGTCGACAATTAGGGCTAACTTATGCACTCCGAGGGGGTGGGTAAGCCCGCCCCCACCTAGAATATGTCCCGGGGACGCGGGCAGTATCTCTCGGCGCGTTCTCATTATGGGCCTACTGTACGCTTCAGAGGTTATCAAGGCTAGCTTAGACAAGCTCTTTGGGAGATGATCTCTGAAAGTTTGAATCTTATGTACATGTAACTGTTGCTGGTGCCGAGCTCTAGATGTATGCTTGTTTATGTTTATTCTTTGGCTCCCGCCAGACCTTCTAGCGCCTCCGGTCATATCCCGTACATTCAACAATTGAAGTACGGATGACCCATCCGATCCATCCGGACCAGGTTGTTCCAGCGATGCTCTTGCCATAACGCGCGGCGGTGCCGTCGCGCTTCCGGCAACCCCATAGGCCAGCTGCCGGTGTTTTGCAGGATCTTGTCAATAATCTCCTGGGGGAGTCGGGCCGCAGCGCGCAGGGTCTCCCCGACCGCTTGTGCCCACCAGTGATGCTGCTGCGGCGGCACATTACGGGTGGAGCAGATGCGATAGTGCGGGTCAACCAGATGCAAGGTGATGGAACGATAATGCCCCGGGCGGCTGGAATCGGCCAGGGAGAAGGGCTCGACGCGGTGCTCGAGAAGGTTGGGGAATGCGATCACACGCCCTTGCGAGAGCGAAACTGCACCTTTATCCTGCCATGTCCTTGCTGTGGGATTATCGGCATCGAGGTCGAAGCTTGAAAATCCTAAGATCTGTGCCAGTTCATTCAGATCCGAGTGGGTGTTTTTCCCATGTCGCCGGGCGGGCAGCAGTCGGGGATGCCACTGCCACTTTCGCCCTTGCTCTTTGTACTCCCTATATCGATAGAAGCTTTCATCTAGCTTAGTATTCTGACGGAAGGCGATTCGGGGTTCGGTAATATTGTCGATATCGTATGCAAACACGGCAACAGCAACAGTGTGCTCGTTGAGCTGGCCTTCCATGTGCCAGTCCGTGCCTTTGTAGTCCCGACTGTCGGGGGTAAGCTCGATGTTCTCCATGTTGACGATGATTTGTAGTCCCTGCAGACGGAAGGTGTCCTGGAGCCGAATTGTATAGGGTTTGTGGGGCGGTGTGAGCGGCTCGTAGGGAATATCGTGCCAGTCCTTCCTCTCGCGGACTAGATCCACCACAGCTCTCTCGTTGTGGCGCGCCGTCTTCCACTCTTCGTAAGAAAATGCGGTCCCTGGCTCGGGGTGACAGAAACGCAGCCGCCGCTTTAGATTGCCTTGGATCTTCCCCCACGCGTCTTGCTGCCAGTCGTCCGGGGCAGGAACGGGAGTGTCAGACCCGTCCTCAGGGAGCTCGAGATACTCCTTCGCGCGTTGCCAGAGGTCTGATTCGGGGGGCGGCAACTCCTTCTCTTCGTTTCCCTCCACGTCTGGATAGCAGTCCAGCCGTTCTTGCGCCTCTCGGTGTCTGCGGCGACCTTCGTCCGTGTCATCTCCCACACTGTCCAGAAGCGCTTCTCGCGCTTTGCGGTACATCCTCTTCCTTCGTGGCCCTGGGACCCGGAAGGCGAGCAGCCATTCGGGAAGCTCATTCTCCCATTCGACTCCATACGTGATGATCCGGAGCGGGACCGGCCCCAGCTGGCCTTGGTTCAGGATATCCTTCCAGCCGCGCTGTCCCTGCACCAGACAGTCGTTCCACAATGGAATCGCCCGGCTCATCAGCGTCTCGATTGCCCGGTAGAGGTGCTTGTGCATCGGGTGTAGATTGTTGATGTACGATGCGAGGCGCACCTGCGTTGACCCTGCCTCGCCGATGAACTCCACTTCACACGGTAGAGCCTGATAGTTCGCGCTCCACCGATAGTGAGGCGCTGTTTCATCATCGGCATGCACATGCCGGGCCTCCTCCATCTGCCTCTGAACATCCGCCGCATCGGTCCTCTTATCCACATGAGTGGGCGCAAGGGGAGTCGCTCCCTGGTACGCGCCCCACACATCCCCCATCTCCACTCGACCCCCATCCGCCAAGACCAGACTCCGCCCATAGACCAGCGGAAACAAGGTCGGGTCGATGATACTTAACCGATGCCGTGACCGCCAATCCACCATCCCGGATTGCATGAGGGCGCCGAGCACCGGCTTCACGGCGCGTCGGAACTCCCCGGCCAGCTCCCCCGTCTCTCGCGCAGGAACATGGTCCGACTTGCAAACACAGGACCCCGTGTCTAGCACCCGGATATGTCCCTTCTGACGATATTCGACGGCCTTATCGCGCAGTTCCCGGACGCACCAGGCCCAGGCCCGATCACTCAGCAGGGGATTCATCGCGAGGGAGGCGATGCTGTCTTGTCGCCAGCGCGCCACGATCCCGTCATCGAAGACGTCGACATGCCAGTTGGGGCGGTCGGTCAGACGGTTCATAGCGGTTGTCATGGCCAGCTCCCGGGCGGTGACGGTGGGCGCCTGTCGCCACTCTTGGATGCCGTGGGCAAAGCGCGCGCCGGATGGGAGCTCGTATGTCAGAGGAATCGTGCCAAAACCGGGTACTCGGAGCGGGCCGTCGCCGCTGTTGTCGAAGGTGATAATGGTGGGCTGGTCGGCTTGGTCGGCAGGAGGCGGATAATCATCGTGCATGATGGAGAAAGAGGGGGAGAAGGGTGTTCTGTTGATTGAGATGCAGGTAAAAGGAAACTGGGTGAGGTGGGATGAAAACGTGAAGCCTCGCGCAGAGAGAGAGAGAGAGAACTTAAAGGGGGGGAGATCCGACTAGTTTTGTGTACTTGGTCAGGCAGGGTCGGCTAGACCCCTTTGCTGTTTAGTCTGGCATTCTATCGACCCTTGTAGCTGGTATCTATTAGCTGATAAGACAATTGAACAGAAATCTGCTCACAGATAGCCGGGTGAGTACTTGTACTCTGTGGTTTGCTGAGCAGATATGTGAGAGTATATCCGAGTCTGGAATAAATTTAGATTTCAATTGGAACACTGCTCACCAGATATCCAGACCAAGATCTCACTTGCTTAATGGTATAACAGAGGTAACCTTCTCTTCTCGTAATCCCCTCCTTGAGGTTCCCTGTATATGCACCGGGCACGAGGCTCAGGTTGCACCAGTTTGCATGGTTGATTTGCATTGTTCGCTCTTCCGTGCGCAGCCACAACTTCAAATCTCCAACTCGTCTTCGTTGGAAACCTGCCATACAGAGTTGACGTTCTTCTTGTGCTACTGACATGTCAGGCGATGGCGGATGAATGTGTGCGCGGTGGTACCCGATTAATCGGGTTAGAAGCTCGAATGCCCCGGTAAATTATATATGTTGCAGAGCGCGGGAGCTCCCAACGAGCGTTGAACTTCGCAGTAAACAACTCTAGGTATACTCTGTCTACAGGTCTGTCGTATATAATATATCACCCGTGGAATATACATAGGGCATGAGAAACAGGATTTGAATAGCCGCACAGTCACCTAAATATAAACTCAACCCCCCCATCATATACATCCACATCCACGCAAGCCCCTTCTTACCCCGTGATAATGTCACAAATCATGCAGATGACATCATCAAGCCCGGGTGGTCTAGTGGTATGATTCTCGCTTAGGGATTCCAAACCCAAGCATATCTGCGAGAGGTCCCGCGTTCGATCCGCGGCTCGGGCCTTGTTTCTTTTGTTTTTGTTTTCCTCGACTCTGTCTTAGTTTGAGGTAGTCTTATATTAAGTAAGTCAGCTTCTGACATCATAAGAGCCCGGATGGTCTAGTGGTATGATTCTCGCTTTGGGATCCACATCTTAAATGCGAGAGGCCCCGCGTTCGAATCGCGGTTCGGGCCACTCTTTTTGTCTTTGTACACGCTGTTCCCTTCAAGGAAGGTTGAGCAAGACACCGCATAGGTGTATTGATTTTGTTTTGTCTGTGATGCGGTTGGTTGGTAGTTGTCTGCGATCGTACACCAGTCCTAGGATGTGGGTGTCCATTGGTTTTGGCTAGGGGGATTGTGTTCCATGGTAGGGGAAGGCTCGAGCCATGTTTACTTCCTTATTCTTGTTCGATTCTAGAACTAGACGCAACACCCTGATTAATGGTCTATGTTACAGCGATTTTCCCACCCACCCCTTGTTCACAATCTAGCACCCATATAACACCCACTAAATATCGATATCTGCACAATCAATGTAATCATTAGTCATGAACCCAGCCCGCTGACCTTGACAGGTATAAGATTGCCTGTCGCACTAAGAATGTAACGCCCGTGCAAAGACCCTAAAACGAGCCGTAGTACTCCTCGAATTCATCCTCAGGTTCAGCGGCCGCCCCCCTACCGGCCTTCGGCTTCAGAACGTCGGTGATGCTGACCAGCTTGGAGTAAAAGTCGATGACCCGGGGGTGGACCATGACCCTGCGGGCGTCGAACCGTGTAACCTGCAGGCCCGCCTTGGAGGTTGCGCGACTCAGCGCGACGTACGCCTGGCCCTTCTCGAACACCTTGCCCAGATCGACCTTGACGCGCTGCAGGGTCTGGCCCTGCGCCTTGTGGATGGACAGCGCCCAGGCCAGGATCAGCGGCACCTGCTGGCGCTGCGCCTGCACCTCGCCGTTGGGGAGCTCGATCTTCCACGTCTCGGGCTGGCAGAGCAGATGCCGCTCCGTGCCGTCGGGCTGCACGAAGCACACCAGTGGCCACTTGCGCGTCGTCACGGCGGCGCCCGCGCCGACGGCGGCCGCACCCCCGTCCTTGTGGGCGAGCGGCTTGAGCTTCTTGCGGGCCCGCGCCAACCTCGCGTTGTCGTCGTCGTCAAAGTTATTGTCGCCCTCCTCGCCATCAGGTTTGTTGCCCCCCGAGAATTCGTTCTCGTTCTCAATGTAGTAGTCGAAGGTCGCCTCGTCCATGAACGCGACCACCCGCCCGATCGATCCGTTCACCAGCGTGTCCTCCATGTTCTTGATCAACATCACCTGCGCCCCCTTCTTCAGGTGGATCACCGGCGGCGCCATGCAGTTGGAGAGGAGCTTCTCGCGGAACTGCGGGTCTTGGATCGTCCCCGAGTCCTGCGCGGTGAAGGTCATCACTTCGCCCGAGAGTCGGTTCATGCGCGCACTGTTCGCGTGGTCGACTTCTTGGCGGGTGGGGAATCTAGCCAGCTGTCAATATCATGCCTGGATTTTAAGGGGGGAAAAGGCTTACAGCTCAGTAGCCTCGAGGGCGTCGTGGAAGTTCAGCGGCCGAGAAAGCTGCTTGAAGGTTTCGATGGTGCGCGGGGTCAACTTGCCCAGGCGCATCTCGTTCAGCATGTCGGCGAACTCCGGGTCCTTCTGGCGGAAGATGTGGGTGAGCAGGATCGTGTGCTGGATCGAGGTGTTCCAGGTCGAGGCCGCGAAGGCGAATTTGGCCTCGCGGTTGCCGCCCTCGGGCACCGGGGGCAGCTGGAAGAAGTCGCCGGTCACGACGAGCTGGATCCCTCCGAACGGACGGCCGTTGTTGCGGATCAGTCGGGCCACTTCCTCCAGCTTGTCGAACAGGTCGCCGTCGACCATGGACACTTCGTCGACGATGAGCACCCGGGTGCGCAGCCAGCGATTCCGCGCCTTTTGGTTCTTCTTGATCTGCTACGCCGTTAGCCATGGCATTACGCCGTCATTCTTGTGCGGCGCGTTGGCCAGATGCTGACTGACCTTCTTGACCAGCTCGGGCACCGGCTCTTTGCCTAACCCGATCCCCGCAAAGCTGTGCAGCGTCACGCCCTCGATGTTACAAGCAGCGAGACCGGTCGACGCTGTTACCGCGACCCGATCCGGCTCCCGTTTGTACTTGTCCCGCAGCTTCTTGATGATCTCCCGCATCAGCACCGACTTTCCTGTTCCGGCCGATCCCGTGAAGAAGATACTCTTCCCCTGCTGCACCACGGCGTCCAGAACGTGTCGTTGCTCGTCACTGAGGAAGATCGACGCCACCTGCGCCCGGGGTGGTGGCAGCTGGCCTGTCACGAGCGCTTTCATTTCCTTGTTCTGCCGCCGCAGTTCCCGCTGCTCCTCCTTGATCGCGCTCGCGGACTTGTTCCAGATCGCCGTCTGCTTCGGACGCGCAGGCGTCACGGGCTTCCGAGATCCCATACCCCCCTCTTCGTCTTCCTCGTCCAGCCATGGTAGTTTCCGCGGTTTTTTGGCAGGCGCCTGGAAGTGGGACGGGGGCGACGAGGACCAGGGGTACTGTATGCTGCTCGAGGGGGGCTGATTGTCATCGGCGGGCATCGGAGGGAGGTCGGGGTACTTCACGGCCGCCGACGACGTATCGCGGGTGGGTGTCTCCGTCAGGTCGACGACCGAGATCTTATCGTCCGCAAACGCGCTGCTGAGATTCGGGTATCCCGCCATCCCATCCTCCTCCTCTTGCTTCTGTTGTTTCGTGATGTTGGGCGGTCTGCTGATCTGAGTAGCCACTGCGGCGGCGGGGGCAGCGGCGGGGCGAGTGAATGGGTCGGGAGCCTCGAAGTCCAAGTCCTCGTCATCGTCAAAGTCGTTCTCATCGAAGTACACCTCGTCGTGCAGCGATCCCAGCGTCGATTGCGTGCTGGTCATCTCGATCTTCCGCTTGACCCCTAACGACGACGCCAGGGCCGCCGGTTTGTGCAGCGGTGCGGCACTGCTGTTGTTGCGAGCCCCGAGCGTGGACTGCAGCGGAGCCGCCGGCGCGGCGGGGTATCGGTTGGCAGCTCGCTGGAACATTGGAGGGGTTGGTTTTCGTCCGGACGGTGACAATGCTCGACGGCGAGAAGACGGAAGAGGGGGGAGGAGTCGATACGAGGCGGATCGCGGTGGTATCAATAATGGACCATTGGAAGTGGTGAATTGACGATATGAACCCGATGACGCCCGTACGTGGTGTCTGGCGAGGTGCATATGCTGGCTTCTCGGGGCCGATGGGGTCGGGGTCTCGAGGAGGAGAGGAATTCTTGTGGAGGTGGGGTTTATCCTATCTTGTTATTGATGAGTAGTGGTTTTTTTTTTTTCGAATTGGAAGTTAATCCGCGTTCCTTTGGAAATATGCGCGTTTTTGTTGATTGGATACGCGCCCGCGCCACTCCGCCCTTTATCGCACGTGACATGTTGATAAGCCGTCTTGCCCTAAGCACGTGAAAGCTGGTGCTGGAGCAGACATGGCTGTAATTTGGGTTGGCTGTGAGTCTCTTGATCTGTGATCAAGATTAGTATTGTGTCGTAGAGTGGTTCATGGCTTCTCAAGCATAAGCCTAGACAAAGTGAGAGGGGCGCCCACTGATACCACCGAGTCACGTGATCACGCATCGCCTTTGCGCGCGATCCGGCGCGAAGTCGGGGAAGCAAACCAAGATTCACCCCATCGCACAGGCTGGAGGTCCCATTCTGCTCGGCGACCATGAACGATGGCTGAGACTGCGGGCGCAAGTAAGTTCCCTTTTGAACACTACGATTGCGACTTCAGCACTAAGCCACAATGACCTGGAATAGACAAGGAGCATCCCCTCACCGGGGTGGTTCTCTGCTTCACCTCAATCCTCCCCGAGCAGCGGGTAAAGTCTCGATCCCACCCACACCCTGAAGTCATGGCTCTTCCCACCACGATAATGTCCGCTAACATCTTTGGAAATGGCCGATAGTCCGAGATTGCCTCCGTCGCGAGTCAGATGGGAGCGACCCACAAGTTCGATCTCACCTCCGATGTCACTCACCTGCTGATCGGCGAGGTCAATACGCCCAAGTACAAATTCGTCGCGCGGGAACGGGCCGACGTCACGGTCCTGAAACCCGAATGGGTCGAGGCAGTGCGTCAGTCGTGGATGAAGGGCGGCGACACGGACATCCGCGCGCTGGAGGCCGCGTACCGATTCCCGGTTTTTGGAGGCTTGTCCATCTGTATTACGGGGTTTGAGGATAGTGAGTGTTGAGTTCATCGGACACAGATCTGGGGGCTCGTCTAACAACTTTTTCTTTTTGTCTTCAGTGTCGGTTAGGAACTACATCCAGGACACAGTCACGGCCCATGGCGCCGAGTTCCGGAAAGACCTAGTGAAAAGCACCAGCCACCTGATCGCGCGGAGCACCGAGGGGGACAAGTACAAGTTCGCGATGCAGTGGGGGATCAAGATCGTCTCGATGAAGTGGCTCACCGACAGTCTCGAGCGGGGGATGGTTCTGGAAGAGGCCCTGTACGACCTGCAATTGCCGTCGGAGCAGCATGGCGTTGGCGCCTGGCATCGAGCCTTGCCCGCGCCCAAGCCCAAGGCTGCCTCGGGGGCCGACAGTGAGAATCCCTCGAACAACCCCCGACCCCGGAAACTGCGCCGTATCGCGAGCACGAAGCTTGGAGACCAGAACGAAGGCATCTGGGGCGATATCATTGGCATCGGGTTCGAGGCGGGCGACTTTGGCCGGTCCAAGGGGAGCCAGCAGAGCGAGACCCGGGCCTTGCGGAAGGCTACCTCGGGCCTCCAGGAGGTGAAGTCGTTCGCTAGCGAGACGACCATGGCGGAGGCGCAAGAGTCCCGTCCACAGCCACCACCGGAGCCGGTCGCTAGCAAGGATGAAGGGTTTCTGCATGGCTGCTACTTTTACATACATGGGTTCTCGTCGAAACAGGTTTGTGTCTCGGGGTACGGATGCCATCGGGCTAGAAACTAATACCTTTGGCAGACGAACGTGCTACGCCACCATCTATCGTTCAACGGGGCACAATTGGTGGGATCCTTGAGCGAGTTCACCCGATCGGACATCCCGAAAACCGGCCACGGTCTGTACACAATCGTTCCTTTCAAGATGTCTAAAGCCCAGGTTCCTTCCACCGATGATTTGGCATTCGAATGCGAAGTGGTGACGGATATGTGGCTGGAGAGATGCCTTGATGCGAAAACACTCGTGCCTCCAGAATCTCACGTCGCAAACACGCCCATTCCCTCATTTCCGGTCGAAGGTAAGTCCTCTCGCTTCAAGCTTTAAAACTGTGTTCTGACGGTTCTAGGATTCTCTGGCCTTAAGGTTTGCTCAACCGGGTTCTTCCGTATCGATCTCTTGCACTTGTCCAAGCTTGTCAATCTAACCGGTAAGGGACATTCCGGCTTCATATTAGACCAAGACTAATCTTTTAGGCGCTACATACAACGAGTACCTGACACCCAAGGCTTCTGTGCTCGTCTGCAACGACGCCAGCGCCGTGAACCAGGACAAGCTACGGCATACTCAGGAGTGGGGAGTGCCAGCAGTCTCTGCGGACTGGCTCTGGGCCTCCATTCGCCATGAGAAAAAGCAACCTTTTGAACCCTATCTAATTCAAAAGCAACCCACCCAAAGTGGCAAGTCTCGGGAGACGCGAGCTGGCTCGCATCCGGAGCAAAACGGGCCAACCTCAGCTACCAACCAGCCCACGAAAGCCACGAAAACAACCGCTCATCACCAGACTGGCCAACCAAAAACCCGAATCGATGGAACAGGCCACCCTTCTCGAGCAACCGACACCACCAAAACGGATGAGCTTGATCCACGGCACGAAGCACCATCCAAAGCGAAGCCAGACGACCACACCCGAGTCCCTACCCCGGTCAAAGAATCGCCCATCAAGAAGAACTCAATCACCTCCACGAGCTCCTCACCGCTCAAACGCAAGATCTCCGATGTCTCCACCGGCCCGACCGCGCAATCCGTCATCGACCTGGCCGTCAGCGGCCTTATGAAACAAGCCCGCACCAATTCTGCTTCTGAACCCGGGGACAGCCACGGTGACCGGCCCCGCTCCCGCGCGCGGAAACCGCTCCTCGGACGCGCGCCCTCGAGCCGCACCAACAGCGGCGGCCTCGTCTCCCTCGACCAGCACCACCCGCAGACGAAAGCGTTCTCGTTCTCGCGCGCCAGCTCCATCGACACCCTCAACGACGACGGCTGCGGCAGCGCCATCTTCGACTCCAACCACCCCGCGGACAGCGGCGGCATCCTCTCCCGCGCGAACAGCACCGCCGTCCGACTCGAGTACCTGGACATGGAGGGCAGGACCGCCAGCAATTCGATGGTCATGTCCGAGTACGAGCATGAGTACGCGGGCGAGGAGGACGAGAACGAGCCGCCGGCCATGACGCAGCTGGACTACGAGGATCCGGACGCCGTGGCCATGCGCGAGCAGTTCTTGCATCAGGCGGGGAAGGCCGTGGCGAAGAAGAGTGCCGGTAAGGCTGCCGGTCTCGGGGATCAGCAGCTGGTGCCGGAGTTCCGGGAGCTGGAGAATGTGGGGTGGGGCGGGGGACGGAGGACGAGGCATGGGCAGAAGACGGTTGGGGAGGGATTTTGAGTTTGTTCTGGTATTTGAATCGGTTCTTCCCGTACGACCCTGCGGTTGGGGGTTGGGGGTAGGTGTTTGATTTGGATCCTTTTAGGGTTGAATATGTTGTTCATGATATGCGTGCATGGCGCGGCGTCCTTTCTCATACATGCTGAATACATTGTGCTTTTGGTTCCCCATTCGTGCCTGTGCCTTTGCCTGTGCCTTTGCCTGTGGATCTTGATTCCTGTGATCTGAGAAGAAATCTAAAATGCTTTTTCCGAGGGCGGTCATCTTTCCAATAACCATTGGGGGCTCAGATCTCTTGAGGCCTCATCGTGTCATGCAACTACCTGAATCTCGAAGCCTCTGTTGCGTCGGTAGTGGCATTATTCGACCACTGGCGACTTGCTGATCAGGAGAGCAGAGGCAGAGCAAGTCATTGAACTACCTTCATCCTGATGTAGTGAGAACGACGTTAGGAGTGATCCCCAAGAGTGCCAGAAGTGATGCCTGCTCCCTGCATGGTACATCACGCTGACTAATCCGCCCTCGACTACATCGTCCCCTGCAACTATCCATAACCACAACCACTCCTCCAAATCTGTCCGTGTATTCGCAGAGCCCAGCTCCAGTATGCTTTCCTTCCGTAGATCCTCCAGGAGCCTCAAGCCTCGAGCCTCGAAGCTTAATAGCGCCACTATCCATCCTTTGTCGAGGTAAAACACATCCAAAACACACTACCTTTTACCCAGTTGCGGAACACCCCTAACTTCCCCAGGCAAAGCCATCGCCCGCGAAGAGCTATTCACCTACACCAATGGCCATTTCCTCATCGACGAAGAGACCCAACTCCGTCGACGATACCTGAAGTTCGACATCGACGCTCTCTGCGATCTCGCTGCGACAGCAGGGGCAAGCCCATCCCCGATCCGAACGATTGAGAAGCTCGAGGGAGGGTTCAGCAAAGCCCTGCTGCTGACGAAGGAGAATGACGAGGAGGTTGTTGCGAAGCTCCCATATCATATCGCGGGACCAGCCTCCCTGACTACCGCTTCTGAGGTCGCGGTTCTACAGTATGGTATGTACCCCTTATCTATCAATCTTACTGATGCTCATATGGTATCAGTTAAGGACTATACGCGTATCCCCGTTCCAGCAGTGCTCTCCTGGTCTTCGGACAGTTCGAACCCGGTCGGAGCCGAGTACATCATCATGGAGAAGGCGGCAGGGGTTCCGCTGTATGAGCGATGGGAGGGGATGGCGGAGATCGAGAGGTTGGGGCTGATCCAGAATCTGGTGAAGCTTGAGGCGCAACTGTCGGCCATTGCATTTCCTGCGTACGGAGGGCTCTATCGAAGGGTTGATGCGGACCCGATACGGTCGCCACAGGCGTGTGTGGACGTAGACTCTTCTGATCGGTTTTGCGTCGGGCCATCGTGTCATCCTTCGGAGCATGTGGCTGCGACTGATTCATCTGCCCCCCGGTCTGAAAGCTTTAGCCATGGGCCTTGTGAGTCCTCACCACAATAGATCATGGTTGGCTTCAGCTAACCGATCTCCAGGGCGAACTTTATCAGACCTAGGAAAATCCATCGCAAAACGCGAGATATCCCGGATCACGCACCGACAATCAACCCCCGGATTACCATTCCACCAAGGCAGCATTCAAGAGCAAACCCAGCTTCTGAAATCTGCAGTCAGTGTATTCCAGCGGATCGACTCGCACCCATCAATCGGCCAATCGGCCCAGCCTACACTATGGCACACGGATCTTCACATGGGAAACATCTTCGTAGCTCCGGACGAAAGCTCGAGAATCGTCTCCCTGATCGACTTCCAGTCCCTGGCCATCCACCCTCGATTCCTTCAAGCCCGATGGCCGGTCTTCCTGAAGCCACCAACAAACTACCCCAAGGGGTTAGTCAAGCCCACACTCCCAGACGGTTTCACTTCCCTCGACGAAGAAAGCCAGGCAGCTGCTCTGCAGGAATTCTCCCAGGCCAAGCTTGCCAAAGCATACGAAGTCGCCAAATTCCTCGACGACCGCGTCGCCCACGACGCGATGGTGAACGTTGTGCCCCGCGTCTTTCGGGAGTTGTTCGTCCGCTGCGGCGAAGTCTCGGAGGTGGGAACCGTGCCGCTGCGCGAGTGTCTGATTGAGATTTCCCGGAACTGGTCGGCGCTAGATTTCACGAGTGAATGCCCTTATTCATTCAGCGATGAAGAAATCAGTCGACACGAACGCCAATTTGCGGAGTATCAGGCGTGGAATGATGTCCAGCAACTCGCGATGGAGTGCCTCGATACCGACGCCGAAGGGTGGATTGCGCCGCAGCTGGATATCGCCGAGAAGCGGAGGCAGAATCGGGAGTTGCTTGCGATGTGGATTGAGCGGGCAGCCGAGGAAAGAACATCGGATGAGGCAAGAGCCCTGTGGCCGTTCCCGGAGTCATAGCAGGTTTTTGGTCAACTGGAAACTCATACTCGTCAGAATACTAGGGAGCAGATCTAGCGATAGCGGTCGTGCACTCGTCTGATTATGTCCATCCCTGTTTCAAGACCGACCGGGCAGGGTCGTGCCGCCCTGGGCCCGTCGCCTTCGATCTTCCTGCTGCGTGTTGTTAGAAGCTAACTATACCAATATCATTTAACCGGACCTGGAAGTGGTATCACATTAGCACGTGTTAACCATGCCTAAGAATGGATCATGCTGAAATTGGTCAGTGGGCTGGCAGCCTCGCCATACTGTCTCAGACCACGCCCCCTCTATGTCCTCTCTTTGACTACACTCATTTGCACAGCAAGTAGTATGATCAGCGTGGTCTATACTCTTTCGCTTCCTGTCTTTGCTATCAGGTACGCAACTTCGAAGCAATGAGCCGTATACTGCCGGAGAAGGTTTGGTCTGGTCAATAGCGCTGAGATACAACTCTGACACAGGCGTCTCATGTCTCACTTTTGTTATCCCATGATCAAGCCTACATCAAGCTCTGCTAGTCACTGACGCAGTTACTTATTATCATCATCACTACGTATAATCTCATATCTGAGCCAGCTCGTATGTTGTCGGCGTTCCTGAGTAATCCAGCCCACGTGATCCGAGGCGATTCACCAAGCGCGTTGCGCACCTTGAGAACTCAGATAGTTCAACCACCAAGAATCATATGACCACATCAAGATAGCCTACCCCTGAGTCTTCAAAGTCGCTTACATATGTACAGTTGGCCATTACTGCATATCTCGAATCAAGAATCTCCAAAATAGCACCACCAGCTGAGTGAGAACGAAACCCACCAAATCACAGCAAGACAAGACCCAGGAAAGACAACAACAGCAAGGTAGCCAGGCAGAAAAGAAAAGAAAAAGATACTATTGACCACGGAACTCCCTCACCAGCCCTCATGCCAAAACCCAACCACCTGAAAACTCCCTACGACCAACACCTTCAATTTCATACTAGACCGAGGCGTGCATCATATACCCATCCATTTGCATAAAGAACCTCATTTCCAACCAACTTCACCATCTCAAGATGACGCCTTCACCTGCTCCTTCCACCGCTGCTCCACCACATCCAAACCAACCCACTTCTTCATCGTCCCATCGAAGAACCCCAGCGGCAGGAGGCCCGCGATCCGGGCAATCATGGCGAGCTTGCCGCGCCAGATCCAATACGGCGGAGTGCGCTTACTGAGGTCGCGGACCACCTGCTTCGCCCACGCCGCGGCGGGGGTATCATTCTCGGGATCGGTATTGGTCAAGGCGCGCTCCACGGTCTCCTTGGCGACATTGTACAGGGAGGAAGCAGGCAGAGTCGGATGCGGCGCCTTATCATGGAAGGTGGACTGGACCGCGCCGGTGACGAGGTTGACCACCTTGATGCCGAAGGGCTCGAGCTCGAGCCGCAGGGTCTCGGTGAAGCTGGAGGCGGCGGCCTTGGAGGCGTTGTAGGCCCCCGCGAAGGGCCCGGTGGCGCCGATGGTCCCGGAGATGGAGGTGTGGTTGACGAGCAAGGTCGGGCCGCGGCCGGGGCCACCGGTCCGGGCCGACTCCAGGAGTAAAGGGAGGAAGGCCTGGGCGACGCTGATCAGCGACCAGACGTTGAGCTCGAACAAGTCCCGCGCGATCGGGATCTCGATGTCCATGACGGGCATCGAGTACCCGCCGCCCGCGTTGTTGATCAGCGCGTCCAGCGACCCGCCCGTCAGCTCCTGGACGCGGGCGACGCAGGCGCGGATCGACTCGTCCGAAAGAGTGTCCAGCAGCACGGTCTCGATGCCCGCTTTCTCGGCCTCCTTGAGCTTTGCGGGGTTGCGGGCCGTGGCGAACACGCGCCAGCCCGCTTGGTGAAATTGGAGCGCGAGGGCGGATCCGAGACTGCCGTCGGAGCAGCCGGTGATTAGGACACTGCGCTTGGATGACATTTCTTGTGGTGTTTGTTTGTTGGAAGGTGTGAAGTCAAGGTGAATTAATTTTCGAGCTGCTCTTTGCGAGAGCTCGGGTCTCAGGGCGGCAGACGACAGGGGCGATTAAATACGGGGAACAAGGGTCAGCTTGCTGGAGTTGATCCCTGCTCCCCTTCGATACACGAGACTATTGCATCCATGATGCGACAAAGAATGAACATCGTGTTGCTGGCTGGATTCTCTGTAGAGCGCTTGTCGGTGGTTGTTAACACCGGAAGGAACAATAGTAAGGATCAGTGGGGACAATACCAGATCCCTGACTCCCCGAGTCTCTGCCAAGCAAGGGAAACGAGATCAACCCACGACAACAAAGACCCCAACACGAGTACAGTACATTGCAGCCTCGTCCAAATTCTGGCACCTCCCATCGTATCGGTTTATACTCATCATTGCCCGGGGGTCGACACAGTGCTGGTAGCAGTAATTGTTCTTTCGGACCTCGATAGTCCGCACGGGATAGTAGGGATAAATAGATAGGGACCTGGACCTGCGGCGCAGAACAAGTGTGTCAGACAGTTGCTCCGAGCAAGTCGAATCCAGCGAGAGGGCGTCCGTAGCAGCTATGTGGAAGCTGTAGGGGGGCACTTTGACACTTTCTGAACAGGGTTTATCATATAATGCGATATAAGTAAGGCAAAGTTGATCGAATCAAGTAGATCAAACCAGCAGATGCCTTCCAATGCTATTCCCTCAACAGGTAAATTCAGCTATGCGAGGCCATTCGAGAGGTGGAGCCAGCGAAGAACCACCGAGGTGGGTGGTGCAGTAGTGAGCGGCAGCCTGACTACTGAGGCTGCAGGGCCCGTCAACATATTTCTTTTCTTCTCTCCCTCATCTTCTGAAGCCGTGCGGACCGTCTCGGCGCTGCTCGACCCTCAGGACGACGACGACGACGAGGAGGAGTCGGAATCCGAAAGACCCGCCCAATCGGGGCGCCAAACCTCCGCGCCACCACCTCCTTTGCGTGTCCAACCCGCCGCCGGACAACATGCGGACACGTCCGGAAGTGTAGCCGCAGCTCGGGGACCCGAAAAGCGCGCTCGACCGCCTCGCGGCCCCGCCAATTGACCCCGGGGCCCCACGCATAGTACTCATCCCAGATTTTTGGATTCCGGCGGCGTTTCGGGCGAGATCGCTCCCAGAACTCGGTGCACCCCAGGCAGTAGGCCCCGGACTCGGCCGCGCGGGTGTGCGGGTCCCAGCAGGGGAAGGCCACCGTGGACGCCTGCCGGCAGTGGAAGGTCAAGCCATGATAGTTCCGGTACGTGGAGCTCTCGCGCGGCGGTGGGGGGCTGCCGCGCTGCTTGTGCAGGGCTTCGGCCCGCGTGATGTCGATGAGCATCCGCTCCGCCATCGGATACTTGCCCAGCAGGTCAAACGCGGTGTAGATGACCGGGAGATGGCACCAGTCTTCGAGGGGCAGCCGGTAGAACTGCAGGACGTCCTCCAGGGAGGCGACGCGGTATCGGCCGTGCCACAGGAAGCACGGAAAGCACACCCGGGAGAGGGCCGGAAGGTAGAGGTAGGGGCCGAAGTTGGCGCAGGTGCGGCACCGTGGGTGGCAGAACTAGTGATACAGCTGTTGGATCGAGAAGTAGTGCGTGCATTGGGCCAGGTCCAGTGCTTGGAGGGTCTCGGCTGCGTGAGTTCGGAGAAGGCGATATTCAAAGAGAGCCGCATCAACTTGTTGGTGGATCGTGGTGTTGACTAGTCGTAAGTTGCCAAGGGCGACCATGTCGAGATTCAGGAAGATCATGCGAACGATCTCCAGCAGTAGTGTGTTCCACATCGGCTGTGGATGTTGCTGCAGCGGCGGCGGCTGGCTATGCAGTTGTTGCGGCTTTTGACATCGGGCTCGGTAAAGCCTCACGGCCCTCTGAAGGCGCTCTCGTGGCGCTGAGTAAATTTCAAGAAAATTTTGACTGGGCCGATCAAGGCGGTATGCCAATCCGGATGCCATTTTATGATACAGTTCTTGGGGAGTAAGAGTAGCGTCTACTCCTCATGGCGCCATCATGGTTATTATAAAGAAACAAGCAAGATCGTAATGATACTACAGTGAGATCATCATTGGGGGGGAGGGTCACCATTCCCCGGAATCATCGGCCGACAATGGCCTTTCACCAGCATCATTATTCGATTGATGACGGATGACGTCTGGTGGACTTAGTGGGCTACATCGTGCATTGGTGCCTCAAGGGCGTGGGCAAGCTTGATTGCACAGGATCCCTACGATGCCTATATAGGAGCCTGTATTTGTTCCGTTCAGCACTCTATCCCTCCCTCGTGATTCTCTTGGACATAAAAATCACCCACTATACCCCCATCCGCCCCATTGGGAAAGCTATCTAACCTCCCCAACCCCCGAGGCCGTATCCCGGTCATCCAGCGCCGCCCTCAGCAACCGAATGATCTCGTCGAGCTGCGCGCTCTGACGCTGGTTCACCTGCACCAGCTCTCGCAGCCGGCGCAGCGACTCGTCGTCCAGGCGCAGCTGGGCCTTCTGGATTTTGATCATGGTCTTGAGGAGACTGACTCTAGCCTCCTCCGATGAGGGTGGTTCTGGCAGTGATCGGGTGCAGTCGCGTAAGACGAGATACGTGAGCCGCAGGATTTCGATTTCGGGGTGGAAGACGCCGAGCCAGATGATCGCCGTTTCTAGTTTGCTTTGAGTAGGGGTGGAAATATGAGCCTAGAGAACGAGTTTTGAGGTTAGTGGGGAACCAGGGGAGGGGGACAACGAGAGAGGAAAAGGAGATAGTTGATCTACCTTGCTCAGCTCCTCTGTGCTGGGTGACTGGTGGACTTTCTTCCTTAGAGTCTGGCTGCACATGCCCAAGTGGATGGCATCTGTATTCCCCAAGAGACTCTTGACGCTGAGCAGAAGCTCCGGCGGGAGGAGCTCGAACCTTGAGAGCATCGATTCCGAAGGATTGCTGATACCGTTGTTGGTGCTTTCGTGGACCCCAGGACTGTCGACGTTCTTCGTGGCATGCTCAGCTGCGCATTCTACTTGCTCATCGATCACACTGGTACCCAAGCTCATGGTCGGTGTCTCAGGCCTTGCTCTTGATGATGTTGATCCGGTAGACTGCTTGTGAAGACCGAAGAAAGGGAGAAAGGCGTGGTTGGATGGTGGAAGGTGCATAGTGGGAGGAGCGGAAGCTGCGCAGATGGGAGTGGCTCTCCGATGAACTCATTCTTGTGGCTGTTTACGGAACATAGCCCCGGTTACTGCTTCGAGGATATTTTCTTCTTTATGTGGTTCTCCTAGCGTCACGAGAACTGGCCATCATGCCTGTGACATGCCAAGGTAGATGGAACCCAGACATTATAGGAATCGAGAGTAAGCTTTAGACCTTTGGTCATGGTCAAGGAAACACAGCCAGCTTGCTTGAGCTCGATCCTTGATCCCCTCGTATGGAGGGGACTATTGCATCCGACCAAGAATAAGCATTGTGCTTGATAGCTGGATCTTCCGTGCAGCGCTGATTACAGTATGGAGTACAGTCGCATTGAAGTATGTATGCCAGACAGCCTTATTGTATGTACAATCGGCAGACCGACTAAAGACACCCCCGATAGCCAGGCTGCTCACCGCCCGCCACGGCCCATGTTGATAGTTCCGCTCGGATAGCCTCACGTAGCTGAGTTCATCACTTATCCACGTTCCCGACCAGCCCTCAAGTAGCACTTTGTTCAACGCGTGTCCATCCCATTTCATCGCCCTTATTCACCTGCATCTGTACCAGAAGTACCAGAAGTACCAGAAGACTCACAGCATCATGAAGGGCTTAAAAGACTGGCTCTCCCGGCCACTTCAACTCTTCTTACGCAGCCGCCGCCCACACGAAAAGCGACTTTCTGGCCTAGAACTGTTACCGCTTGAACTTTTACTCCATATCACAAGATTTTTGGCAATCACCGACATTATCTGCTTAGGTCTGTGCAGCCGAACGCTATATGACTTCGTGACAGGTCTCTGCGATCTCAACCCAGTGCAACGCAACAAGTCGATAGCTATTTCTGCCCTCAGCAGACTAGTCCGAGACCTCCCTCGGATGTTCTGCTGCCACTACTGCGCAAGATTGCATCCTATAACCGACGTCCGCCCCCCAGCAGTTGATCAGATTATCTTCACAAAATGCCCGGACCTGGGAGCTCCATATCTGTACCGGGGTGATGGTCCACTGCCTTCGCTAATGTGGTTCTTTAGGGTCCACGGTCTGCCCAGCGGATACAGATTCCAACACTGCCACCTGGTAGCCGTGCTACAGAATCACACTTTTGACGGCTGCTTGGGGATAGATTCTGAGTCATTGGCCTACACCGAGGTGGTTGACTATCCGGCCGATCCCGCCAGAACGACTCTGTTGTCAGTGGAAGGACGGGTCTACGTGCCTGCTGGAGCTGGCCCGACACCACCATCGCTAGTTCTGCAGATACAGCAGTGGGTATTATTTGATGATGACGACGTCGTCTTCTCCAACAGGGACAATGATGTTTCTCTTTCAGTCTTCCAGCATCGGTTCATTTGCGGAGCGCAGAAGCTGGACACTGCGGTGGTAATGGACGCCATTCGATCTGTTGTCCAGCAGCGGGGATTCTCTTCTCTGGACGAGCAACCGCCGGCCGCTACGGAGTGTATGCGGTGCCCAATTTGCGAGGTCGAGTTCCAGATTGCCCTTGAGGACTGTGGCAAGGATGGAAAAGCAGTGATCATTACCAAATGGCTAGACCTTGGGGCGGGAATGGTATACACTCCGAGGGCTTTGACTCCGATCTCGCCCTTGATGTTTCCTGAGGCCTTGTCGATGGCACCTTTGATCTATATCGGGAAAATGAATCACACTCCGAGCAGCCGATCGAATGGGTTCAAGAGAAACAAATCACGTACTATCAAAGTCCCGAGTTTCTGTTTTGATCGTCGAGGGTGCGCGTCAGCCACGGATTCTTTTTTGCTTTCCCAGCTCGAGGCGGAGTCTTGTAGGCACGTACCGAGAATTGCCCAAACTCCTTCTCAAAGTGGACTAGGAAGTTATATTCAAATCAATATCTCTCCAGGTAGGCGTGTGTGTTATATGTAGTGGTTACTTAGGGGCCACGCACGAGGCTTATCATCAGAATCCGACATTGTTTCAGGTCTTCCAGGCGGTAGAAGTGAACAGACTTAGACTTGACCAGTATGTGCTGTTGGAAGAAGAACAAAGGATCAGGCGAAGCGGATGGTTGAAGAGGGAAACCCTCATGTTCGTCCGACTTAAATACAATCCCCTTCCCCACCTCAAGACTGGAGCTGAAAACGGACGACAAGAACTAAAAGCGGAAGGTAATCTTCATTGCCAGAGTCCCGTCCAGAGTCAAGTCATGGCTGTCACAACTGTAGGAAGCAAACTTCATCATCTGCGTCTGACGCTTTGATGTACATACTGAGTACGACCTTACTCCACCGAGGGGACTGGACCTACGAATCAGAGCTCCCACCCCAGTCGAACTATACTGGAAAGTCAATGACACCACCTACTGGCATGTCGATCCTCATATGACAACGCAGAACATCTCAACTTAATCTGCATGTCGCCCCGCTTTTTCACAGATCCAATTGATCGGTATGTTACAGTACTCTCCATTGATGCATTGGTGTCTGATTAGGCAAACGTGCATATACCCCTCCTTCGCAGGGTATGACGTACGTAGCAAGACATTTGAAGTTTATCATGGAGAAGAACTTTCTGATTTATGCTGGATTCAACTCAGAGTAGTTTTGCATCTGACTACGGCATGATACCATACATGTTTATCTCGCCAATGAATCCCATGCTTGCAATAAGAGTTTCCCGTTAGCAATTGATATGTGGGTTAATCCCCACTCCTCCTCCTGACCTTGCTTGAATCCACAGGTTCCTAACATTGCGAAATACCTTGACACTGAGCCCTTTCGACTTCAGATGCATTCAAAGCCCATAGGCACACAAAGTGTCCGATATTTGGTTGCTTTTCCCGCTCGGAGATTGGTAGATGTCCCTGAATACAAATATTCAGAAGAAGCACTACCTCATTAAAATGTCCATACCAGGGAGACAAGAGTCTTCGGGGGTGGGAAACAGAGCAGGCAAAATTTGGTCCGCCCTAGACCCAAAGCAAGTGATAATAGAGCAAATGATAATCGAGGCGATAACCGAAGCGACGTAGCGAGTCTTGATAAACCATATGGTCTCGTTTTCAGATATCCTGCAAAGTAGAGTGTCCAAGCGTCCAGACCCAAACGTCCTTAACATTATAGTAGAGGTACCAAACTTTTCTTTTCGAGGACTTCCTCGCAGACGAGACATACTGTGGAAGTATTTGCCCACTGAGTCTTCGACTTGGGAGCTTTTCTACCTCGACCCTGAATAATATAGGGTCTCTGTCAAGGTCTTCGCCATCGCAGAGAGTATGCACGGGATTGACCAGTAATCTATGCCTGTAGTCCTTGATTGGCTGACGGAATCTGCGAGCTCGATAGCTTTGTCTTTGTGTCTAAGCTATCTTCATCGTAGACAATATGCATCGGATTGACCAGTGCTTCATTTGTCCGCACTGCTTGATCAGTCGAGAGAATCGGGGAATTGATGACCGAATCGTCATCATATCAGACACCATGCGCTGGATTGACCAATACTTTGAATCAAAATTTGGAATCCGAGAGCTTGGTAACCTCCGTCCTGTGTTCATTGTAGACGATATGAACTTAGTTGACTAGTGCCTCCAAGTCTATAATCCTTCGCCCGTCGGTCGAATTCTTCCGAGAGATTGATCTCTTTGCCGAGATACTTGCCGTTTCAAAAGATATGCGCTGGATTGACAAGTATCCCTATCTTTGTAAACTTTGATCGGCTGATTGAATTCGAGAACTCGATAACTTCGTTCGTGGATTCTGGTCCTCGTCATCGTAGACAACATGCACGGGACTGACCAGTTTCCTTAAGTCAAGAGGCGTGGGTTGAAGGCAAATAGCTCAATTGGCAGAGCAGCAGAATTAACATCCCCGCCAGGGTTAGGACAGTCAGACCGTAGTTATGGGGAGGTCAGAAATAGCTGGCATGTTCGGATTCGAGACGCTTTTGCTCATCGAAAGTGGCCAGGTACTGAACATATCACAAATTGTCCGAGAGAAATCGGCATATCGCGGACATGCCCCGCGCTTTGATTTGAAGCTACCGCTTTCTATTTTCCCGGTCACAGCCCACCCCGTCTGCATTCTTAATGCATCGGTGCAGCCCATAAACGTGGTCCACGCAGCCCTCTTCCTCCCTCATCCGGACCGCCAGCTACAACTGGACATCACCTACCCCACAAAGATGAATGCCGTAGTGGAAGTAGAGGGCGTCTAGATAGTTCCGGACATCAAAAAGCACCTTGCGTCGCTCCTGGGACTCGAGGACCCTTCGCAGGGTGAGTCCCCCGTTCGGGATCTGGGTACGCAAAGCCCGGCGCTGGAGCGCTTGGACGTCGATGAGGTACGCGTGCTGTCTCGATAGCAGGTAGATGGTCATGATTGTAATCCTCCCATATTGGAAGAGATTTCGTCATTCAAAAGCCGTTTCGGGGTCACTAGTGGAAACCAGTTATGCAGTCTGTTGACCATCAAACCCCGACTCCGAATTCGTGCTTTGTCGCTTTCCAGTATCATATGCTGAAAAGTGTTAAATTTATCGCCGAACTCCACGTAGAACATACTTGCTCAAAGCCGGGATCGTGTGCATCGGGTCAGTCTGCGGAGCGCCGGGACCAGGTCAGCTAGAGTCGGGAACAAGCAGAGGGAGGGGGCATGCATACTTGTCAATTTAGTGGACTGTCATCTGTTCCGGCTAGTCAAGAAGCCATTCTGCTCGTCCGTGTCCAGCTTGACAGCACAATCGGGTGTGCCATGATGGAGACCGTGAGAACGGCTGTATTCCGAGAGCTTGTTTTGTCTCTATCAAACTTCTTTCCCCGAGCATCGATATGTTCATCGGTCTCAGTCCGCATCATTTTTGGCCTGCTGATTGATGCCACTGCTCTTCCACTTATTGTGTTTGGCTCGTAATCCATGTTGACGGAAACAGGAATTCTCGCACTCGTTCGATCGTCGCCGTTGGTAGGGGTGTCCTAAGCCATGCGATATGATATCAGTCAAGCTTTCTTATTTTGATGGACAAAAGGTATTGATACTTACCTTGATAGTACTAGTAAAGGCGGAATTATCGTTGTGGGAGTGATTCCCCTAAGGATTCAGTTTCAACACAGTCTCGAACAAGCTGCACAGGGAAGGACTCCAGGATGTCCTGAACCCGCTGCTGTTCACTCCCCTGGCCATCGCTGTACAACTCAGCCACCTTCTCAACCACCCCATCTACAAACGATGAGATCGCGATCCTCCATAGCAAATACCCCGCATCGCCGGGCAAAAGGTATAGGTATTCAGGATAGAGAAGGATGTATCGTACCTGATATTTGCTCAAGCTACAATAGACAAGAATGCCAAGTCCCAGCAATAGCACAAGACGAGCGACTGGGCAGTCTTTCTGGGTATGTTCTGCTGACACAACCTCGGAATTCATTGTTGAAATAACTCTCATAGCTTGTGTCCTTGTCGAGCCAGTGTGAGCCTTGGCAATTCTCACATAATACCATCCCCAAGGTGTATTCCTGGCAGACATCCTTATGCCCGTCATACACAGCTTGGAGGTAAGAGGCTCATTAAGCTGCACGTATGATATAGGATCAATTCCGTAAAGCGACGTGTCTCAATGATTTCGATGTCACCGCGAGAGCTACCAGGGGGTAGAAAAAAAGACTCGGAATCTCAATGTCTCCGCGTGAGCCACCACAGCGTAAGAGGAAACAGTGGCAACTTAAATGCCACCGCGATGGTACCAGGGAGTAGAAAGAAAGATTTGGGGTGCGGAGATCTTTCGTAAAAGGTACAGTACAGACGGGTTTCCGGCGGAAGGCTGCAATTCTAGCGAGTTGAATTGAGCGCATTCCGAACGCCTTATGTAGGGCTCAATGAGAGAAGACGCAATGAATGGTGAGATAGGTTGAGGCTATTAGATTTGCCATTCTTAATCGGTTATCTGCTGTACTCGGGTATCCCGTACAGCTGGGGGTGCCGAGATTAAAAAGGGCCGTGAGTTGGTCTTATGATTCCATCACCGATAATGGAATTAAACCGATTTCTCCTCGATGTTGTAGCTCCTTCGCTCAATTGGAACAGCTTCTCCTTGAGCAGTACAATCAGTGCTCGCACGGGCCTTGCTCAAAGACATCCATTTGGCTGTGCTGTGGAAATTTATGCCGGGTCGTTCAGCGCTCCGTTCGAATCTTATAGAGCAACTGGGCTCTGTGTCAGATCATTTGCAATTGGCGCATGCTCCATCAAGTAGTCCATAAGCTTGAAGATGATTCAAGCGGGAAGGGACATGGTAAGTGTTAAGGCTTCCATCTTGCTCATAGTAAACCACCACACCTTAGAATGGAAGGGCAAGCACAGCCATCGCTTAGGGCGGGAACCCTACCGGCTATCTCTCTTAACCACCGAAATTGGAGAGTTAGAACGATCATAGAAGAGACTCGAAAGAGATAAAAGGAAGAAAAATGCGATCCAAAGAGAGACAGTCGCCTAAAGAAAATTTCAGGTGGGCGTTGGAATCCAGGTGGAACCACAGAAGGAATCACTCTGCCCAGCTTGGATACCAGTGAACCAAGAGCCCTGGGGATTCAACTTGAAAATAAGGTCAAGCGATCAGCATCAGGGAACTTGGAGCGAGATTCTCAAAGCAGCCGGCAATGTGTTCTTGATGCTGAGCCAGCCCAAGACCACATCCGAGTCCAACAATCTCAGAGACCTCTTGTAATTTATCCAGATAGATCAAACTTCTAGCCCTCGCCTTGAACCATGAACTGGTAGTAGCTCTGGTAACGAAAGACTAGAATGTGTTTGATTCGGTTATACAGATGGAACCCCCATTCTGGTTTGCGATATCCTCACCGTAGTGGACGTGCCAAGATCTTCCTCTCCACAGCATATCTATGACCATGAGCATAGGACAAAATAGTCAGACCTGGGGTCTTGCGTAATTGCAGCAGTGTCAAAGTCTCCTGGGTATGTGAATGAACATACAGTCTTGCATAAGAGTCAAATGATCAGGACGACACAAGCACAGATGAGTAGATGTCGGCTGATGGCCGAGATGGTCTGTTGATTTGAGTTGACACTGGCAATGATCTGCTACTGCAACTGTGATCCAAAGACTGAATAGCCTTATGGACTCCGGTCACATGCTTCGACTCGATCAATGGTCGAGCAGACACAAGCACGGATTAACCAGACGTCGGTTGACGACCAAGATGGCCGATCGATCTTTTTTGACACTGGCAATCAGCTGCTACTGCAATGTGACCCAAACACTGGATATCCTCATAAACTTCGGTCACCTGCTTCGACTCGATCAACGGTTGAGCTGGCACAAGCATGGGCAGAGCAGACCGTGGTTTGACTCGATTAACGGTCGAGTTGGCACAAGCACAGGAAGAACAGAGGTTGGGTGATGGCCAAGATAGTCTGCCATTTCATCTGCCCACTGGCAACAAGCCGCTATGCAAGTGAGGTCTAAGAGCTCAGTAGCCTCAAGCTCTTCACTCTTGTGCTCAACTCAAGAAAGCCGAAGAGGAACATAGGAGCAGCTTCTCTGGGAATCAAAAAAGAGACCTGAAAGTGTCGATGATAACATCAACCCGCCCGATTCCAATCGGAAAACGCGTTGCTCAGACCGACAAAGGTTCAGATTAATGGCCCGTAGGCATGGCATGCAGATGATTTATCTGCCTGATTCTTGACTGCTGCGACTTGCTATAGCTTGCCGGAACAAGGTTCTCTGAGGGTGAAATCCCACTGAACTCTCACAGCAGTGTGTTGAGCATGACGCTCGCGCAGCAGGACTACATGTCGGGTCCAAGTTTCGACAAAGAGAAGCCCAGCGCCGTTGGGGGCTCGCTGGAGGCTCATAACAGCCTCATCTCGGCTATTGAAGCGCACTGTGTTGATTCGAGCATGATTAGCAAAATCTAAGCGAAGGAATGGAACGAAGCAAATACTCACAGGAGCGTAATGGACCCAGTGGCTTCACAATGAGCCCTGCGGCAGTCCTTAGGCAAAAGTTTTGACTACCAGTCCAGTTGAGCTACAATGATCTAAAGCTCAAAGTGACTGGCCTTGTTGGGCTGCCGGAGGCTCGTAATTACTTCACCAAGGCTAGTGAAGTGTACTAGGCAATTCGAGTATGATTAGCATCATTTCGGAGGAAAGAGATAGGTCAGGTAATCACTTACGGATGGGTAATTTACCCAGTGGCTTCAGATTCTTCAACAGCCTTTGAGCAAGAACTTGACCGTCGGAATGGGAAGACACGTCAACCCAATTGAGCTACAGGAATGGCAAGCTCGAAGAGGCTGGCCTTGTTGGGTCGACGGAGGCTCGTAACCACCACACCTAGGCTATTGAAGCGTACTAGGCAACTTCGAGTATGATTAGCATCAACTCGGAGGAAAGGGATAGGTCAGACAGTCACTCACGGATGGGTAATGTATCCAGTGGCCTCAGAGCTCTTCAGTAGTCCTTGCGCAAGAACTTGACCGTCGGAATGGGGAGACAAGTCAAACTTGATTGAGCTGCAATAGTGGCAGGCTTGAAGAGGCTGGCATTGTTGCATTGCCGGAGGCTCACAACCACATCGTCTAAGCTGTTGAAGCGTACTAAGAAACGTCGAGTATGATTAGCATCGTTTCAGAGGAAAGGAGATAGGCCAGGCAGTTACTCACAAGTGGGTAATGTATCCAGTGGCTTCACAATGAGCCCTGCGGCAGACTTTCTTGAAAGTTTCCACAATCATGATCGTCTAGTTGAGCTACAGCGAGACAAGCTAGAAGAGGCTGGTGCTACTGGTGGCTCGCTGGAGGTTCCGAACCGTGTCACTTAAGCGGCCAAAGAACTCTAGGTAGATTCGAGCAAGATTAGCATATTCTTTTGGAGGAAAAGAATCTGTCAAGCAGTCACTCACGGGCAATGTACCCAGTGGCTTTGCAACAAGGCCTTGAGCAGTCCTTGCGCATTGACAATTGCCAGGATAGAGGGATACGTCGGCTCAGGTTGAGCGACAGCGATGGCAAGCTCGATGAGGCTTGCATTGTTGGCAGCTCGCCGGAGGTTCCTCAATACCTCACCTGAGTCGTTGGGATACACTGAGATTCGAGCAAGATTAGAATATTGCCGAGGAATAAGACGGCCTAGTAAAAACTTACGGGCGAGCAATATATCCAGTAACTCCACAATGACTCACAGAGCCTTCATCGTAAAGACGAGGGAGCACGCCAGTCCCGTTGAGCAACAGCGATAGCAAGTTCGATGAGGCTGGCATTGTTGGCAGCTCGCCGGAGGTCTTTCGATACCTCATCTGAGTCATCGAGAATCACTGTGGTGCGAGTCAAATTAGCAAATTGCCGAGGGGGGAAATGGGCTAGGTACATGGATGCTCACGGGTGGGTAATGTATCCAGTGACTCCACAATGAGCCATGCAGCAATGTTCTTACAGAGCCTTCATCGCAAGGATAAGAAAAGGCCAGCACCGCTGAGCTACACTGATGACAAGCCTGTTGAGTAGTGCCTCGAAGTCGATGCTTATGCACCTCAAGAGGTCACCACATTTGTGATCGATCACCATGGGATATGGTTCTCAGGGGCAAGGAAGCAATGGATCAGAACCCGGTGAAGTGGTGGTAACCGAATCATTCTTCCCATCATCTCAAACAGAACTCAGTTCGTCCGAGTGTCAACAAACTGACAAGTCGAGCTTTGACTTGCAGACTGTGTCCAAATGCACAAACACCTGAATTAACGGTGATCGTGATGGTGGCAGCAGCAGCAGCAGCGGCAGCGGCAAGAGTTTTCCTCACTGGCCTCTTCCTCACCATTCTCTTCCGCACTCAGTAAAGCCTTGTCAACAAACTGACAAGTCGGACTTCGATGTGCAGATTGTGTTGAAGAGGGCGAACACCTGAGTTCACGGTGATCGTGATGATGACGATGACGATGATGATGATGGAGGAGGAGGAGGAGGAGGAGGAGGAGGTGGTGGTGGTGGTGGTAGCAGCAGCGGCGGCAGCAGCGGCAGCGGCCAGAGGTTTTCTCACCCCAGTCTTTCTTCCGCAGTCGGCGTAGACCAAGGTGCTATCTGTGGACATTAGCATCAGATACATTCGATTCGTACAGAGGTGTAGACATACCAATACTCATAGCGAAGCTATGATCATAAAAGAACTCCCGAGTCCTGCCCAGATAGTCTGTCTCCCAGGCGATCGACGAGGGGAGTGAACTGATCACCGTGGCAAAGTGGTATCGAGCTTGAATGAACAGAATCGAGACAGCAATGACCAGCTCAGCAGTGGTGTTTAGAGAAAATAGTTACTAAGCAGAACACCAATTGCTCCAAGGTCTGACACATCTGACAGTGGTATCCTGGTCCATTTTTCTCAGGACGAGTGTGCTGTCCATTATGACACTGGCAAGTCACCAGATAGCAACAGGGTGGTAAGAGGGTAGACCGGTCGCTGATGCTGGAGGTGTAGCGCTCAACTTGGGCAATGGATCCTGGAAGACAGACGAAGCTCGGGGAACAGGCTTGACTTGACAGCGTTAGCATAAGCTCTCTTCGACTTGCGCGAATTGGGGAGAAGGTGGAACTTGTGCAGTCCAGAAGAAAAGTATGTGATAATGTCACGAATGAGTGTCCGGTCAATGGCCTCTGAGCTAGACGACCCCCGGAGTGCCAGCGGAAGTGAGACAAGGCAAAGGAAATGAGCTCTCAATCTCTCAGAAAAGGAAGAACATTCCCGAAGGGAGGGGTGATGTCGGAAGCAAGAACAGATGAAAAGAGGGGACCGTCAAAACAGTCACAGGTGAAAAGTAAAAGAAGGAAATGACTTGATCACCGAGATGAGAAAAACTGTCAATCACCCCTCAAATATGATTCAAGGAGAAACACGCAAGAACCCTCGGTTCTACACCCTGGATCAATCCTCCCAGATGACCGAGCCGTCGTAGCATTCATCGCCTTTCTCAACTCGCAGATGTGATCTCCGAGACCACGCAAGCAATCAGTAAACTGGGAACTCTCCCGCAAGTTCCGCAATCTCCCGAAGAGAACTTCACCTGAAATGGAGCGGGAAAACACCGCGGGGTACTGAAGTCTCACCCCTCGCATCTTGAATCCAATGCCAGATGTTCGTTGAGAGAAGGCCAGCTCCTCCCTGGGTATGCTTTCTCTTCGAAACACAAGCATACCCAGGACCCCGCAATCTGATGTCTCGCTCCAGGCGAGTCTGTTCGTCTCACTCGAGGAGATCCTGGACTAATCCAAATCCTGCGGGATTAGTAGAACCAAAGTCCTGCTCGAGGCCCTGGTAGTTTATGTAGACTTTCTCTTCGAAAGCGTACAATCGACCCAGCATCTCTTGGTGTCATCCCATGTCAGTTGGGATCAAAACCGCCCACCACAAAGGCATGTCCTTCCCAAGAACTTATGTTTTGTCCCATGCATCGAATGCAACGTAGTTGGGTAACAGAACGTATGAAAATTGCAAGGTCTGAGAAGAGGACCACATGGAGCGGGGTAGACGGAAGAAAGATGGAAGACATAGGTAACGCCCCGCACCGGAGGTGTCATCCCAGCTTTTGCGCTGCTCAGTTCACCCAAGGGTAGAGCAACTCGTTCCACCACAAAGGTATATTGATTGGATGAACAAATGCATGAGAAGAATGAACAGATGTATCATGAGAGCGGGAGTCAACAGATGATTGGAAGGTAGGAAAAGACTGAGTAGAAGTCCACATGGAGTGTGGTGTGGAGTGTGATGGAAAGAGGAGAGAGGAAGAAGGAAGAAAGAAACTGAGAAGGAGTGGGAGGGCTCTTAAGTAGACAGCCCCCGGCTCGCTGGCTGAGGTCTTGAGGATACAATTAACCGCTGGTCAAACCGTGAAGAATTGCAGTCCGGTTAATCATTCCATAGTGCATTCTGCGCTCTGAGAGATCAATCCATTAACGGCTTACCTCTTTGAGACCTACACCAGTGACGGAATCGCCTTTGAAAACAACCCCAGTGACGGAATCCTTTTTTGCCGACCACTTCCGTGAAGGAATCGTCCATTGAAAGTGAAGGACTATCTTTTCAGCCTATATTCATCAAAGAAGTGGGCATGAAGAACCTCCCTTTCTCAGAACAGCCCTTCAAGGAGCCTGCGTGCTACGGGACTACATCTGTGAGGAGATCAACTTAGGGCACGTTCGGAGTTACAGTCGGAGTTACGGAACAAGCCGGCGCGGGACGGGATGCACGGACCAGGAAGCCCACGTGGACGGTACCCTGGTTCATTGCTAGCGGCTTTGAATAGCTTCGACAACAATAACGCAGTTAGCGCCACTAGAATTAAGCGAGGCAGATATGTGCACAAAAGATCGTTGTTTAGGATATCAATCTGATAAAGAATTTTTAAGCTATCTCTTATGCGTAGCACACCAATCACGCCATGATTACTGGGAAGAAGACAGAAGAGAAAGAGGTAGGAAGAAGAAAAGAATAGAGCTGTAACTCATACACGACGGGATATTTTGGAGATAGAAAGAAGAAGAGGGTAGAGGAAGAAGGCGGCATAAGGCCGGAAGCACACCACACACAGCAAAAAGGGAATAGTAAAAAGTTCGTACAGCATCATTATGGTTTGTACAAGGAAAGAAAATCACCTGCAAAACCTCTAAACTACCCCATACATACTTAATGAGCCGCCGCAAGACCACCAGGCAGAGGAGCATCCAAGTCAATGCTCTCCACGGATCTGCGGTTCTCGCCGCTCTCGCGGAAGAGATTCGAGAAGTACTTGCTGGCGGTCTCGCTTTCATGCTTGGTCTTGCTGACTTCGTGCTTGCGACGTCCGAGGTCTTCGATGTCTTGCGCGAGGCTGGTCTGGAGGTTTCCGGCGGGCAGGCGCAGAATGCGGCGGACCTCGGAGGAGATCCGCGTAGCGTTGGAGTGGACGTAGTCCATCTCTGAGAGAGTAGCTGCAAGCTTGCGGGAGAGACGAGGGGGAAGGGTAGTAGGGATCGTAGAAACCATCCAAGCAGCGGTCAAAGCAGCTAAATGTTCTGTCAGTCAAAGTCATACAAGAGAGAGAGAAAAAAAAAAGAAAAAAGAAAAACGTACCGACTGCCAAAACACCAGGCAGGAAAAGTCGGCGCACATTGTTCGGTCCCAAGAACCGAACAGCACTGAACATGCTGTCAACCCAGCCGATGCCACCAAAGGCTCTGCCTCCGAGGACAGTCACGGCAGTCATCGCCATTCCCGTCCCGGCCATCTTCTCTTGCCGCTCCCAAATACCGGAGATATCGAAGAAATCCCAAATCTCTACTTCGGTATCGACCTGTCTGGCGAGCGTGTGACGACGACCACGACGGAACATCATGTCCGCGCGGAAGTTCAAAGGCGCAAACTTGTCTTCTCCGACGTGCAAAAGACCAATGTTTTGAATGAAGCCAACACCCTTGACCGTCTTGTCCCGCGCATAGTCCTCGCAGTCCGCTACAGATGCGGCGATCTGATCCAGCATAGCCAATTTCAAGTCCTCGGCGTACTGGAAAGCGGAGAACAGACCGGGGTACTCAACACCCAAGTCGGCTTCGGAGACATGAGCAATGGTTTCACCCAAGCTAGACCGGGTGTGATTGTAAACGTCATCGCACGACTCGTCAATGTACTTCTCAACCTGATCGCTAAGTTCTACCTTCTTCTTCTTGCCTTCTTCATAAGCAGGTTCCAGCTCAGCAAGCTCGTCCGTGACACGCTTAAGTTCAGCCTGAGCTACATCACGATTGACTCCAGCCAGGGAATTCAGATCCGCGAGCAGATTCAGAAGATAGGTCCGAGCAGGCGCCAGCTTCGAGCGAGAGCGCTTCTCCAGAACGAACCGGCGCAGAGAACCTTCAAGGTTCTCAAAGTCCTGGATCTTCTGCCGCTGCTTGCCCTTGTCCTTGCCCTTTCCTTTATCCTCAGGCTCGTCATCGTCAGAGCCATCGTCGCCACCACCGCCCGAACTTGAAACGGAGACCGGAGGTGCCACGGGAATGGCGTTACTAGAGACGAAGTGAACCAGCTCAGCTGCCTCTTTGTAGGTGCGAGGGCTGAGCTTGCCGATCTGGTCCAAAATCATCCGCTCACACCGCTGCTTGTCGCGAATCTGATCAAAACCGTTGACAACAATGAACATGTAAGCCTTCTCGTGGGCAGCATTGAGAATGAACTCCTTCGCAGAAAGAGTAAAGTGATTAGCGGCGGAAACCACGAACACAACCACATCAATCTCCTCCTGTCGGGCAAAGACCGCCGTCGTCTTTAAGGAATCCGAGTTCAGACCAGGGGCATCGATCAGCGCGATATCCACCACCCCATTGTTGAGCAAAGACTCATCGATCGTCCGCACATCCTTCACATAGACCTTGCACTGCATGTACTTTGAGTTGTCGATAACGATGTCCTCCAGCTCATGCAACCCATAGACGTCGTAGGTGCTCTCGTCGTTGCGGTTGTAGGGAACATCCTTGTGGACGGCATGCACCTCTTCCAGCCCGCTGTTCTCACGTGCATCAAGAACCTCGCAGAAGATGCTGGTGCATGGCTGCTGATCCTCGGGCAGAACCTTGCGGCGCAACAGTGCATTACAGAAGGTCGACTTTCCGGCATTCAGATCACCGGTAATCAGAACCTTGCTAGAAGTATCCTCAATCCGATCTCGCAACGAGAGCAGATGCTTGACGCTCTGGCTGATCTTCCCATCCAACAGCGACGCGATCGATGCCTTCTCCAAGGAGTGAACCAACTCGGCTTGCGACAGGGCTCCCAGCTTCAAGTCGAGTTTGAGAATCGAGAACTCCTGCGCAATCTGCGGGCTCATCAGCCGGGGCTCCGTGGGGACGCGACGCTGCGCTGCTGCACTCGACTCCGCCAGATCCTCGCCGGCGGTCATTGTAGCGGCGCGCCGCATCTGGCCGGGACGGGGGATCGAGTCCAGAGCTTCATCTCCGAAGAAGGACTGGGCCTTGTGCAGGGTGGGTTTGTCGTCGGGGGACTCGAGGTCATTCTGGACGGAGGGATAATGGGCGGGCCATTGCCGATTCATATCCTGGAGTTCCTTCAACGTATCGATAGTGCGCGTAATAGCGCGTCCGAGCTTGGTCCGGTTCGAGTTACTATAACCCCAAGTCTTAGCATATTTCCGAGGGATATCAAATCCGACCGAAGCGTGTAGCTGATGGACAGCAGGATGAGATTATGGCGCACGTACTAGAGTAACTGGTGCACATGGCTCGCGACGACCTGGCGCTCGTGCTCAGCTAAAGATTCCGACGCGTCAGTTCAAACACCCTTTCAAGGGACCGAAGTTCTCTTCAAAAAACGCATTAAGAAGAAACGCACCTGCTGGGTTCCATGCTCCAAGATGGGAGGGCGCATGCATGGGAGTCGGGCTATCGACCATCAGATCCGCTCGCCATCCGCCACCAACCGCAGCTCCAGCATCACCATCGACCACGCTCCCACTGGGAATGCTGCCACCGTACCCGGAATCCTCATGCAGCGAGGCCATCAGGGCCGTTGCGCTCTCGGAGGTCGAACCATTTCCGACGGTCATATACGCGGGCGGGGGTCTGGGGAAGGACGAGGGGGTACTGCTCATGGCGGAGGAGTCCTCGGGCGACGGTTGCTGCTGGCTGGAGGAGGATCCGGCGGAAGAAGAGGAAGAAGAGGCGCCTTGGCCGGGGAAATACTCCTGACTCATGGCGAAAGGGTGGTTGTTTGCATGTGGGCGTAACCCAGTGCTGGAAGAGTTGAATGAAAGGAAGGACAGAAAAGTCGCGGAAGGAGTGGGAGTGGGAGCAAATGCCGTGCACGGGAGGCGAGGGAGATTAGATTTGGCTTAGTGATGGAAGGATGAAAGGATGGAACAGGAATGGAACATGGAAATAATATGAGTAATTAATGCATGCACCAAAGAAACAGCAGCAGCAGGAGCAGCAAGCAAGCAATGAGAAGCACTTCAGCAAATCATGGAAATTCGGCGCGGGAGGCAAAGAGCAAAAAGGGAAAATAATTCATAATTTGTTCATTGCTGGCTGAAAAGGGTTTAGTGGGGGGGGGGAGGATTCAGTGTCGGGGCCTGCATGTGACTGTGGGTGGGTATCTTTGGTATCAGAAGTGTATTGAGCATACTACTGCCATCTCTTATGTAGGGGTAACTCCAGTATCAGCAGTACAGTACACCAACTACAGCCTACGGCTGGCTTGCCTTGATGTCACTTGCGGCTGGTTGTCCCTCACAAGCTCACTCACTCTCTCCGCCTCGGTGGCTTGCTTTACCTTACTTATCAACAACAACACCACCACTACCACAATCTCGATCGTCCGATAATCCTTCCTCCCTCCTCCCTCCTCCCTCTCCTTGACCGTCGTGTGATCCCGATACCCCTTACAACCCTCATCACCATGAACGTAAGTACCCTCCCCCAACCCTTCCAATCACATCAGCGTCGCAAAATCACCCCACCTCCCACCTCCCCTTCCCCCAATCCCCACCCATCAACACCAAATTAAGCCTCAATCACAGATCGTCGAATGGGCCTTCGGCAAGCGCATGACGCCCGCCGAACGCCTCCGCAAACACCAACGGGCCCTCGACCGCACCCAACGAGAACTCGACCGCGAGCGCGTGAAGCTCGAGAACCAGGAGAAGAAACTCGTCCAGGACATCAAGAAGAGCGCCAAGAATGGGCAGATCGGGGCCTGTAAGATCCAGGCCAAGGACTTGGTGCGCACGCGGAGGTATGTTGGACCCTCACGCAGACACGCACACACCCCCCCTCTCTCTCTATCCGTACTTTGTTGCGATGTGCGATGTGCGATGTGCGATGTTTGAATAAAAGGTGTCTGACGGGATGGAGAACAGGTACATCCAGAAATTCTATCAAATGCGCACGCAGTTGCAGGCGATTTCGTTGCGGATTCAGGTATGATTTTTCTACCTTGATGGACTAGGTTGTTTTTGGGGAGGTTGGTGTCGGCTGTCAGCTAACGCAACTCATCCCAAAATCTAGACGGTACGGAGTAACGAACAGATGATGCAGTCGATGAAGGGGGCGACGATGCTGCTGGGCAGCATGAACCGGCAAATGAACCTGCCGGCGCTGCAGCGGATCGCGATGGAGTTCGAGCGCGAGAACGATATCATGGACCAACGGCAGGAGATGATGGACGATGCGATCGACGAGGCGACGGGCATGGAGGGCGAGGAGGAGGACAGCGAGGATATCGTCAAGGAGGTGCTGGATGAGATTGGCGTGGACCTGAGCCAGGCGGTGCGTGATAGTTCCCCTTGTTCTCTGTCAAGGGAATGCGAGCCACAGTGTTGTGGTGGTCTCCGTATACCTATACTAACTGTTTCTTCTTTGGGTGGTTTTGCAGCTGGGTGAGACGCCGACGGATATACAAAAGACGGCCGTGGGTGAGACAAGAGTCGCGCAGCCGATTGGGGCCGCCGGAAACGCAAGTGATGATGACTTACAGGCAAGACTGGATAGTCTTCGTCGCTGATGATATGACTGACACGAGTCGACTACTGCTGTGATTTCTTTCTTTTTGTTTTGTGTCCAATCTTGTTTTCTGCCTTGTTTCTTGCACTGTTATCACATTCGTGGCTAGGGGTTTTCGGGATCGGGCATAATGCATCCATCTATCATTCTTCCAAGGCTTAGCCTTGTACGTCTATAAATCTATCCTTTTCTATCGTCTCTCATGACATAGTGTCGCCTCTATACTCCAGGTGAATCCCAACATACCGATGCAATGGGCTCAAAAACTATAACACAAACCGATATCGAAACATTCCGTCCACCCCGGAGAAATCCATGCTTTGCCGAGAAATAAGAAAACCCACATAGCACCAAACAATGCGGAAAGAATAAACAACCACAGGAAAGCGATCCACGCCTATTCTTGCATTTGGTCCCCGTCGTTGTCTGCGATAAGCTGGTTGACTGCTGCCGCTATCTGTATCAGGTTTTGTGCTTGCTGCTGCGCCTGGAGTTGTGCTTGCTGCTGTACCTGGAGTTGTGCCTGCTGCTGTGCTGCCTGGAGCTGAGCCTGGTGCTGTTCCTGGAGCTGAGCCTGGAGCTGAGTCTGCTGTTGCGCCTGCTGTTGCGCCTGCTGTTGCGCCTGCTGTTGCGCCTGCTGTTGCGCCTGCTGTTGCGCCTGCTGTTGCGCCTGCTGTTGCG